CCGTTTGTACAACTATCGGATGCGCCAGTCAGGAATAAGCCAGATTAAGAATGTATTTCAAGTTTGATTTATTTTGAATTCACAGATTAAGAATGTATTTCAAGTTTCAAATTGTTCTGAATTAAAAAACAAATACTACCTCTGTTATGTATCTATTGCAAGCAGACATTCGAACCTATACAAATTGCAAGTAATATGAATCTTAATTTAATAGAATTAAACAATCATATTGCTGAGCAGGTTAGACACTTCTTCTAATCTATCTTCTTCCTCAAGTCTCGCAGTCATCAGGGCAAGTGCAACTTCGTCTTCATCCGTCACCTTGCTCCGCGGCATCTTGTACCGATTGTCCCCTTTGGCCTCGATGATAACTTGCATAACACGCTGGAGAGTCTTGCTGTCACATTGGCGACGCCACTGGCAGCCTTCGTGGCCTGCCCTCGCTTGAAGATTCGCCAGCCGGTCGTTGGATTGACGCCATACGTGGAGCAAACTGCGTCCATGGTGTCGCGACTGAGCTTGCCGTTTATGGATTTCTCCAGTAGATCTTGATACAATGAGACCCGCTGCTCGTCGGTCAAATTTGCCTTGGTTTTTGTATTGGATTTTCGCATGTCGATAAAAAGTGGAAACTGAATATATAATTCAAGCAAAAATACGAGCGTAAAGAACAGAACCCAGCGGTCACAGTCCACTAATTTGTTTGCCAATCAGAGGCCTAGAAGTTTACCATCTGACCCCGCTTGCAATAGTTACATAACAGAGGTAGTATTATTCTTGACGCTTGGAGTTATCACCAAATAACTTCATCATCATAGCCATTTGAAATTGTTCTTGGCGGACTCTGTTCTCGCTGTCCTCACGTCGTTGTTTTTGATCGCGTTCATGCTCTTCACGACGTAAGCGCTCCTCGCGCTCTTCTCGAACAATTTGACGTTGATAGTCTCGTTCTTCCCGTTCATCGCGCAGGCGTTGACATTCATCTTCCCGTTGTTGCTCCCGTGCGTCCCGCTCTTCTTGCCGTTTTTGGGCACGCTCCTCCAACATCACCACAAGTGATGGAATGTCGTTACCTGCAGGTTGTTCGTTATGTGCTTGTTCGATTAATGTGTCCAAGCTTCGACGGCGTCTTGCAACGAACGACATCGACGAAGCAGACGAGGATAGCGACGGCGGAGGGTTTGGAAACTTATCCACAATCAAGCGCTTTCCCAGCAAGCGAAGTGTGTCGTGGGATAGCCCCGATCGATTTGGTGGCTCAGCTTGAATTGGGTTTAGTCGACGCGGACGCTTGGTTACCGGGGATTCTTCATCGCCATCGCATCCTTCCTCATCGTGGGCAAAAACGTTCGATACATCATCGTCGTTCATGGCAGTCTGCTCCACAGAACTCACAGTACTCGTCGGCATATAGGGGCCGTGGTGCGCGATAGCGTCAGGACCAGTCATTCTGATCTCGTCGTCACCAACGCCTTCATGTTGACTGATCTCGCCGTTATCATCCATGGTCTCCACCACAGCACGACAATCCAGCTCTCGTTGTAGTCGTTTGGCACGAGCGACTAATGGCGGGCAGTTTGGATCTCCTGTTGGTTTCTTGTGCGCCTTAAGAAAGGTGAACTTTCTCTTGCACGCTTCCCAGTCTCGAGCAAACACAACGCTTTGGTTGGCGTTGAACAGTTGAGCGACTTTGGCCACCCATGTTGACTGAGAGGGAGAAGTGATTGAACACAGTCGAGCATGATATCGACGTCCTCGTCGCCCCAGTTGAGTGCTGAGCGCTTAGTTGCCGTCTTGGCACCGACCTTTGACGCCATCCATCCGGGCACCAGTGATTTCTGCGAATCTGAGACACCTTGAAATCTGCGAAGACCAAAATTTGATCTTCGCACATCTGAGGGTTCCTCAGATTGGCTAAAATCGCTGGTCTGAATAAATTTTAGATTCAAAATCTGAGGTATTTTTGGTAGTCCTCCAGTGATTCATCTACGGTTGCCGTAATCGAATCCGGTCAGGAGCTTGTTGGCTTTGACGACGCCGTGAGCAAAGTGATCGACGCTGCAGTAGACGCTCGACAACGAACCGAATCATAAGTCGCAGACGTGGCCGAATGGGCGGACTCAGGATTGCCTGCTGCGGCTTCCATTATCGACTCGAGTTGGACTCGGCGGCCGTGGCCTACATGGTGGACTAACCTCGTCGCCGTCTCGCAACGTAGCAGCCGCTGATCCAATTGTCGCTAATTTGCCGAAGAATTTGCAGGGACGCAGATACTTCTAGTTAGTACTGGTACACTTTAAAATAGTGTGATTGCTGAGTAGATGGCGGAGAGCCGCCTTCTGACGACGCTGCGATGAGTTCACGATCACAGTCAGCATCCATGAAGTGCACGCCATCGAACATATTATGTATCATTATGCTTGCTTTTATCAATTGATGACCAATTTGAACGCCTCCGCACTGGTAATACTTGCATTCAGCTGCCAGTGGAATATTTGCAATATACACAACAATAGCTGTTGTTGTTAACTATGACGTGACGAGTAGTCTATGACGGTTGACCGTAAACGATTATTTCAACACGTTCGTTAAACCGCCTCTCATCAGTGAGGAATGCCATGGTCGGCAAGTTGCGGCAGCTAGTGTGCTGTGTGCACCGGTTGGTTGACTAGTTTTTGCTTACAGTAACTATAACTATACAAGTTTTGTTTAACGTTAGAGTGTAGGTTATTAAACCCATGAAATTGAATATTTAATCATAGAGGAGTTCGTGAATAATTCGTAAAGAGTCCAATATCAATGAACAGTACTGTTAACATTTCTGAATCATGCAAATATTCCCGGACAGAGGTATGTTTACATACGAGACGGCCGAAAAAAGCATCACCTTCTTGATTAACCACTTCCACTTGCAGTGTGGTGGTTCCAGGTTGTACGTGTTTTTGATTTCGTACCAAAGAACCACTTCTCGTCCATATGAACGACGTTCATCATGTCCTCAAAGCTGAAAAGTTTGCGTTGGTTGCATGGGTATGCTGCAAGGACTCCTTGAGACGTACGGACTTGTTGGCTTCCGTGAGGGCCGGCCTGATGTTGCTCTTGTACTTGACGAATATACCCCGCTTATAGTAGTCGTGTAGCCTTGACTGGGACAGGTGAAAGACCGCCGCAATAGACTGAAACGTAGTCGGTCTAGCTTTGGGCACATTGTGCAGCCGCTCCGCAATCGATTCGTGTTTGAATTTACATCCACAACGACCTTTTCGATGGGATGCGACATCATCGCATGGACGACGCATGTATCGTGACATTGTCTCGCTTCCAAACCTGACTCACAGTAGATCTGTTGACCCCAAATAGAACAGACACGGCCTGCAAAGCTCCGTATGACAGTGACTTGTGGTCAGCGAGTGTGTGTTAGAAGCTGCTGTAGCATATCGCCCCTTTCTGTGTTCGTCAGGTTTGTCTTGGCGCCCATTTTGGTTTGATGCGCCATGTCATGGAGGCCTGTGTACGGATAGTATCAGTATCCGTACACATAACGTACACGTAACCGGATTTTCGGATACGGACGTGGAGTCAAATTGACCATATCATATAAGATTTTGTATCGAACTTTCCAACCCAGTTTGCTACTTTGATTGACTCAATTTTGGGGCAAATTCGTTTGATTGGTGTTCTCCGAGTTGAACTCTACAATCCGATATACTTTGTTCCATAGTATTTTAATTTGTTCACCTTCGTTTTCCATATTCTGAGTCATGCAAATAAGTACTGTACACGTATTCCCAGACAGAGCTTACAGTAACGTTAGTATCGAATCAGGGGGCTGGCTGGCGTAACTGGCAACCGTTACAGAAGTACGAATGGTCCAAGTTTTATACCTCAAGAGTCCTCAAGAGTCAACCTGTCGGCATGGAGGACGACTATGTTGTGCAAAAGCGAATGCAGCAGCGGGAATATGCAAAGCGTGAGGCGCGTATCGCACGGGGGTAGTTGTATAATCAATTTCTTACTTAGAGCTGGAGGCGCAGATGGAAGAGCACCATCGCAAATACCGGCGAGGTCGGAATGCTGGACAGTCGCCGTTGAAATTGCCCCAACTGTACGTTGCCGTATAACCATCGCATGCCCCCTCGTCCTAACGACGATCACTACATACTCAACCGCAGCGCCATCGTGCCTGGTGGGACCACACCGTTGACGACCCCCACGAAGGCTGCGACATCGACGAGCTCTCCCAACCGACTTGTCAGCTTCCGTTCAGACGACGCGCAGCCAGAGACGTCTGACTCGGGCGACTTGCGCACAGTCGTGCGGCAGCTCCAGACCGACTTTGCCCAGCACGTTCACCTCGTCCATCAACTCACGACGACCGTGAACGAGGTGAACCGCATGATCGAAAGTGTGCGAGTACTAATTTATATGGATACACGAATTATACTGTTTCAGAAACACAACGCTGTCGTTCAGAGGCTGTTGGACCTCATCCAGAGCCCCATGATGCCGTCGTCCGCAACCATCGCAACGACGATGGACATCCCGTCCACATTGTTGGCCGTTCCAACCCTCGCGCAGCATGCCACCCGCCTCGACGCGCTAGAAAAAGCCGTCGTCGTAGCCACTTCCAATGCACTGCTTCGCGAGGATTTCGATGCCATGGCCACCGTGCTAATCGAGGTCGCAACGGCCCCTTGAACGTGTTGCATGTACGAGATGTGATGACGCTTGCAGTAGAACAAATCGCAAGTGCTGGCCCATGTGACAGCGTTGGGGGAGCGAGTGCGGGCAGTCGAGGCGACGATAGCCACGCAATGTCCAACGTGGAGCCACGTCCAAGAAATGCATGCCAAGGTCACCGACGCCATGGCGCAGCTCCGCGTCGACGTCGAGCGAACGATGGTCGTTAAATTGAGGGAAGTCCTGGACCACCGCGACCAATTGCAAGCCGAGACCCACGCGTCCCACAGTGTGCTGTCGCAGCTGAGTTCGAATGTCGATATACGGAGGCAGGAGGCCACGGGGGTGCGCGTAGCGGCGTTGGAAGCTAGCCTTGTGGTGTAACACTAGGCATCAACACCTGTGACGGAATGCATGTGTAGGACGAACATCGCGCTCGCATGGACTTGGAAGTGGCGGTGCAAAACAAGATGGAGCAGGTGGTCACGGCCACCGAAGCGGCCATGCTGAAGGTGGACACGTGGCAACGTGTGGAGCAGGCTCGGTGGGGTCAGTGGACAGCCCAGCACTTGGCTGCAAACGAAGCGCAGTGGTCCTACGCACAGTCAAAATGGACAGACTGGCACGACCAACTCAGCCGGCGGATGGAGGTCCGTCGAGACAACCAAAAGGGTCATGCCAACCAAACTTGGCTGCGTAGGAGGTCGCAACTGCGTCAGCAGAGCAACGTACGCAAGTGCAGCAACATTTGGCAAACATGGACAAAGTGGTGGCGGCGGAAATTCGCAAACGAGCCAGTGACATTGCGGCGGTACAAGCGGCCGGAGTCGACACATGCGAACGACTGGTGCGCCAGTGGAAGCGCGAGTCGCAGGAACAGTTGCGGCCGTTGATGGCCCAGGTATCGACCCTGGAGACGCGCACCGCGGCAGCTCAAGACGAAGCCCGGCAGTATCGAGATACAGAGCAGCGGCTGCGGGACGACGTGCATGTGTTCACGTTGAAACACCAGGACGCCATTGCCATTGTTCGCGTGGATGCGGAATGCCAAGGGCGGGCATTGGCTTGTGAAATGAAGGCCCTGCAAAGAGATGCCGAAGGTATGGCGAGGCGTTTAGTGGCGTTGGAAACCGAGAGACAAGTGCGGCGGCAGAATGACGGTACCTAGTGGCTAAGAACACAAGATTGACATTTCAATCGTGTGAAGTTGGTGTCGCGACCTTTGCATAGGTACAGTACAACTAGTAGGACAAAGGCAGGCTTGTCCCTTGAAAGAATAGGACGTGGTAGTACTACTACCAAGGCGTCCATACGTAGCTTGCGGTACAGGATGTCAAGTACGACCGTGTGGCTCTGCGCCCTTTCATCCTCATTTCGATCCATTGCGTACTTTCATATCCGGACAAAAAGCCAGGGCAGAAAGTGGTTACGTGTCGGTTCCCAAGTTGTTCCGTGCCATCCCTTCGTCGAGCGTCGCCTGGACGTGGCAGCGTCATGCATGCATGTCTTCATTTCAAGCCTTGACATGTACATGCATACCCGTCCTCTTAGCTGAACGGTCCAAGCGCTGGTCATCGGGACCGCAATGCAGCGGCCCGATTACTCACCTTCCACCTTTCTGGGAGAGACCATCTGTATACAATTCTTAAGTGCTTTGCCGTCCCGAGTTGCTTGGACGCCTCCACGACCAGAGACCATAGGATATGCGCATACGTGAATATCTAAAAATGTGTGCAAAGCGGTCGTGGAATGTCTCTCCCAGGCATTTGCCTGCGCATTTACACTTGTGTTTTGTATTGCCTCGACACCATTCAAAATAGTGTGGAGCACATGCTTCTTTGCTCTCCAGCAGCATCATTTCGGAATTGACTGACTCGCGCTATCCTTCCAAGATGACCACGTCTTACGGGTATGAGCTAGACTTTACTTGGGACCACCCGTGGCCGCGGGCTCCGGTGCCGAAGAACGAGGACGAACGCCTTGCCGACTTGGAGGGGTACCACATTCTCGACACGGCGCCGGAGGAGAAGTTCAACAAGCTGTGCCGCATCGCTTGCAAGGAGATGAAGTGCCCGATTTCGGCCGTGAGCTTCATCGACAAGTCCAAGCAGTGGTTCAAAGCCAACAGTGGACTCACACAAGCAGCCATCCCGCGGGATGTTGCCCTCTGCGCGCACACCATCATGAACCCGCGAAATGCCGTCGTTGTGCTCGACACGACCACGGATGAACGGTTCAAGAACAATCCTCTGGTCACCCGCGCATCGTCCGTCAAGTTTTACGCCGCCGTGCCCCTTGTGACGGCCCGGGGGACGTGCATCGGATCTGTGTTTGTGTTTGATGTCAAGACCCACACATCTTGCGACACTAAGTTGCTGCAGAAAATCGCCGCCAAGGTCATGAAGTACCTCGACGAACGTCTGCGACCGACGGCGGAACTATCCCAATCTGTCGGCCCAACCGCTCTCCGACCCATCGTTCAACAGCCGCTCGCCCGCTCGGCGTCGGCCGAGTACCGGCAACCTGCCCCGGAGCCGCAACCTCGCCCTCAGTCGACAGAACCCTCTGCAGAGAAGCTGCATGTCGCAGCCGAACGACGAATGTCTGCAGGCACTAGCTTCGCTCCTCCCCCGCCGGCAACGCAACCTGTTGCTCCCATTCCACCTCCTGCCCGCGCACAGTTCCAGGAGGCTCCGCGAAGTGTGCAGACGCCGCCGCCGCGAACGACTCCGACAACTCCTTCCCCCGAGTCAGCACTTGTTGCCTCTGGTCCCACGGAATCCACGGAGCGATCTCTGTCGACAAATGCCGTCAACCCCGAAGGCCAGATGACCAACATGGGCGCCATGCTCATGAACCTCCTGGCGCGGACGACGGAGACGCAGCAGCAGCTCGCGGCCCAGCAAGGCGTGATGTTCGAGACCTTGGGCCATCACTCGGAGCAGCTCAACTCGCTTTCGGAGACGCTGAACAACTTGGAAACGCGCATCGACAAGACCATCCGAACCAAGAGATAGAATATTGATAGTGCTATATTATAGAAACACCACCCACAACCAACCTCATACACGTCAGTGTTGATCCACACAGTCGGTCGGATTGGCCGACGCTTCTGTGAGGCAGCAGCCCTGCATGAGGGAGGGCGCGGTGGCCAGCGATGTGTGATGAGGGAGTGAGGGGCTAAGTTGACGAGGCATACCTACGATACATGTGTGTATGCGTGACATGTGCATCATCATCCACACATAACGTAACGCATCCTCGCGTGTGTGTGTGTTGGTGGCGCTGGTCGTCGAACGATTCCTTCTTCGGCAACTTGTGAAGCCTCGTGTCAGTCTCAATGTAGTGCGTGCCGTTACGAATCCTTGGACAAAGCGCTACACCACAGTGCAGGCATCCCATCATCTATCATCCGTCCTGAGGCATGGTCACAATCGCGTCGTCGTGGATGTCGGATATCCTATCTTGACTCGTCGTGGCATCTGGTCCTGTGAGGGAGAACTGCAATCAGAGAAATTTCGATACAAATATCAAGTCAAAACAGAGTTGGGGGTGGTGGAAGTGTCTTTTTTGACCCGCCTCTGCCAACACACACACCGTTGTTTCACGGAAGTAACGAGATGATGTCGCGGTCGCCGTCGAACGTCCTGCCGCCGCGCGGCGCGCTGTCCAGGTCCTCGTCAAATTCAGACGCGAAGACACCTGAGGCGACCCCCGTCGACATTGACACGCTCATGCTCACGATCAACAACGCCGTGGCGAAAATCGCGTCCATCCGGGAATCGTTCGAGGACGGCCGACCGCCTCGGCACTCCTCGGCATCCTCGTCGCGCCGGGCGGGGAAAACGCGTCTGCAGGCCTCCTCTGCAACCTCGAGTACGTTTGACGACAGCATTTTGCGCTTCTCGAGCGCTGGGTCGTACCAAGACAGTTTTCGGTCGTCAGGGCGAAGCCAGAGCGGTGGGTCCGATTATGGCGATGGGAAGCCACCGTTGCCGAGCAGTCGGAGTCTCGCATCAAGCTTCACTAGCAGCACCACGTCAAGTCCGTCTGTGATAGACCGGCGCAGTTCCAAGACCCATGCGCATACTTTTCCCGACGACGAAGGTGGGGACGACGACGTTGTGGCGCCGGACCTGCCGCCTTCCCGCACGACGACTACCAAGGCAAAGCTCCCATTTCCATACCACAAGCTGCAATCGACGACATCCATCGACTTGGACGACAACCTGACGCCGTTCAAGGAGCTCCGGCTCGCGCGGCTGCAGGACATCAAGGTCACGTTCCACAACGGGTTGCCCCAGGAGTTCTACCAAGCGATCTGCCGATTCCTCCAAACGACGCTCGAGATCAAGCGGAGATTCTACAAGCTCAAGCATCTCAAGGAATGCTTCCTCGGATGCGATGCGTTCGACGCGCTGCTCGACAACGGCTTTGCCACGGACGAGAACGAAGCGCTTTTGATTGGGAACGTGTTGCTCAAGCTAGAGCTGGTCGAGGACATCACGGGGCCGAGTGCGCGCATGAAGAACCGGAATGATGGGTTCTACCGGTTCACACTGGCGGGGACGTCCATCGAGAAACCGGCGGCGGACGCAGAGCATCCCCGAGGCAGCCTCATGTCGCTCGACGGAATCGACTTTGCCGACGCGTCCGACAACATACACGCTCTTCTGTCGGAAGAGAGCCTCGCGATCGTCACGCGCGTGCTTGCGCGCATGTTTGACAAGAAGGGCAAGATCATGCCGTACAAGGGCTACGAAGGATGCTTCCTCGGGTCGGAACTCGTGACAGCGCTCAAGGAGATGAAGATCGCCATGTCCACCATCGACGCCCTCGTCGTGGGCCAGAGTCTCTTTGAGGAACAGCTCATCCTCGCCATTGACCCTGACACCACCGACTTCCAAAGCAAGTACACCATGTACCGGCTCGCGCACTTGTAGGACGATATATCATGACGAGTAAACGACATGGAGTATTTAACGTGTCTTCGGGGTGAACGAGGCGAACGGGATGATGATGATGCGACATAACGACGTGATGTGGATGGTACACAAGTGGAGTGGTATGTGTTGGGTATGATGCAGCAGCGGGGAGCGGCGCAAGTACATGCGTGTAGACGCGGAAATGGGGTCGCTACGGGGTGGTCCCTCATGTGTGATGATGCACTTCGCAAAGCACATGTGTTGAACGTTCTTCCCATGCCGGGAGCGGCAACTGTGCACGTGTCCCGGCCTCGCTTGCATGCGACAAGGATGCGTGGAAGCCCTCTCCGAGCATCGTCGGTGCATGATGTACGTAGATAGATGCCTTGCCACGCCATGGCGCGCGTTTGAAAGGTTGCGCGCATTTTCTTCGAAATGTAATTCAAGATACTTGAAATTATATCTTGGTTTATGTATATGACGGTGCAAAAGTTGGTTTTTAATTCAATCGCCCTGAACTGTCGCGACCAAGATACAGGATGATGGAGAAAGCGGTCCAGCTGCAGCTCGCGGCGCGGGAGAGGTGGCTGCAGAAGGACGAAGTGTTGTTTCTCCTGACGAACTACATGGCCAGCGGCCTGCCGGTTCACGTCTCACCGCAGTGTCGACCGCCAAGTACGTACGCATGCCCTTGGTTCGTCCCGACAGATCGATCGATCTGTCCTCATGCATGCATGTTGGTGGTTGTTGTTGCAGGTGGAACGCTCTTTGTATGTGACAGCGTCATGGACTTCAAGAAGGACGGATGGACGTGGCAAAAGCAGAAAGGCAGCAAGACCAAGATCCGCGAAGACCGCGCCAAGCTTGTCGTGACGCGTGGAAACGTCGTGCTTGGCGTGTACGTGCACTCGGCGGATAATCCGTGCTTCCACCGCCGAAGCTATTCGTTGCGCGACGAATCGAACCGCATGATCCTCGTGCATTATTTGGAGGACGACAGCAAGAAGCAAGCTCTGCGGGACGCGCCGCACGAGTGCAGTCGTCCCTTCGACGCGTCGTCAGTTGTGAACGACGCATTGGCCGACTTCCATCCAAGCGATCCCGACGACGATCACAATGACGACGATACCGCCTTGGACGACCTCCTCCTGGACAACCACATGCCTCGGATGATCGCTTTCGACCCTTCAAATCAAGTACGAACGAGTCGACCACCTCGCCATGCACTCACGTTATCCCTGCTTATCCCGCGTATGTAGATGATGCCACCCCCACCGCATGTCCTGGACGACTCCATTCCACTGCTCGTACAGATCACCGACTTTTCGCCGAATTGGGACTTCTGCACCGGCGGCGCCAAGATCCTCATCTGCGCCGCGTCCCCGCCACCCTACTCGACCTTATTCGTGTGTTTTGGCTCGACCGCGGTCGTCCGTGCCGAATCCCTCTCCCCCACCGTCCTCCGATGTTGCGGTACCCCAATTCTATATATTTATATATATATATACCCCTGTCACCATAGCTCCACCATCCGATACGGCGGGAGTGGTGCCGTTGCGCATTGCCACGTATGTGGGCACCCAATTGATCTTCGTGTCGACCCCTGGCCACTTCCTCTTTAAACCCGCCGCCAGCCCATCCCATATGTCTGTGTCCAGCGGCGTCCATCAGCCCCCGCCAAAGTACCCGACGCTCGACTGGGGTACCTCCAAACAAGTGCCCGCGTTCAGCGATGTCGTCGCCCAAGGGGGGGGTAGCAACAGCAGCAGCAGCAGCACGTTCAAGCGCGCAAGGAGCGAGCACAACTTGGACGACATGACCAGCCTGTCGTTCCCGTCCAGCCCGACCAACAGCCTCCGCGGCCTGGACGAGTGTACGCTGTCACACATGACTTGGTTGTGTGCTGATGGTTTTCATGTGACAGTGGACGACCGGCAATACAAAATCCGCGTCGTCGAGCGGTTGCACGAGTTCCGGCGGGTGATCATCTCCCACCCCAGCGCCAAAAACGTGGCGGATGGCGGCGCTTCGACGCAGCCCCAGTCGCTACTTGGTCCGTCGTCGATCGTGCTGGTGCGGTGGAGTCTAATGACGAATTGTATTGATTTAATACTCCAAACTTGGACGACATTTTTGTGCTCATGCACCAACTATAGATGGATCGATTTCATGAAGATTTTGTATATGTCTCACATTAATTGAAGGCATAATACACTATTTTGACATTTTTTGTGGTTGTGTCTTGCCATTTGATTGGACTCACACACTAATTGAAGACATAATACACTATTTTGACATTTGTGATGGTTGTTTCTTGCCATTTGATTGGACTCACACACTAATTGAAGACATAATACACTATTTTGACATTTGTGATGGTTGTTTCTTGCCATTTGATTGGCTCCTAAACATCGTTCTATCGTCGACGAGTCTTGTGTACTTCTATTTGGTGATGTGTGGTCGTCGTCGATTAGAAACATACCCACCAATATATGGTTGATTATATTATTCGTGGCTAACAACAACTCTTATTATAGAGACCTGCGGCCACGGTGGAAGTGGCGTCGCTGATGCTGGACGACTCTGCGATTGCCGCGCTGAGCGACGTCGAGCTGGGGGCGCTGTCGGAGCAGCTCATCGAAGACGTCGTCAAGCAATTGGTGGCGCTGGCCGGCACATCCCCCGAACTGCTCGAAGAAGTATCGTACATTCAGTCGATATTTTTAGACTGAAATATTGTGCATTTCACCCAAAGTTATGCTCTTTCGAATCGATTTGATCCTATGTAATCGTGCACATATATATACACATTAGTATTTATGTGGTTAGTATATATGTGGTTAGTATATACAAATGTGGTTTGTTTTGATTGGCAGAATATATTCGACATGACGTGATTTGATTGGCAGTTCTTGAATCGATTCTCCCAACACATGTGATGCTTCTGCTCACGGGTCCAGTTTCGAAGAATCGATTGGACAATACTATAGTGATATTTCATTGTGTTGTGGTTTCTCGTTGGAATCTAATTCGATTTGATTGGCTACTTCAGATCAGCTCAAACTTATTAGCCAATCAAAACCTTCTCAATGAAATTCAACAACCAATCAGATCGATTGTGGATCGGTTTGGTCGATTCGATTGCACCCCTTGTATCAAATTTGTACTATCAAATCGCCAATACTATTTGTGTTATAGTTGAACTCGCTGGACGACGCAGGACTGAGCTTATTGCATTACGTGTGCTTTTACAACTGCGGCCAGCTCGTGCCGCTGCTCTTGTCCCACGGCGCAAATGTCAATCAGCGCAGTGCTCAAGGTAATAATAGTTAGTCCTTTACTTTATATATATAATTGACATATGTGACGATATTTGTTAGGGCAAACCCCGCTGCATTTAGCGGCGGGATGTGGCCACTGGGGCATCGTGCGGTTGTTGCTGTCGGAACAAGCCGACGGCGCCATGCTCGATCTAGACAACTTTACTCCTGCGGATCGGTTGGTGTTTTCCCATATGATTTTAAAAGGGTTTAGGAGTACGACGTAGCGCTGACAAGTATGGACATGGGGACATTGCGGCGTTCCTGCGAAGTCTGTCGCCGCCATCGCCTCTGACGAAACCCGTGGACGAGGTCAAGTGCATGGGAACGCTGCTGGACTCGAGTGCCGTCGATCGAAGCAGCCATTACAACCGCAACTTTCTCCTTGGCGCATTCTCGACCATGAGCTTACACGGTACAGTACTTTGCCCATTCTAGATATATATATATATATATATTGTGGATTCGACACAAATATCGAATCGAATATCTCGCCGCCGAATCACGAATCAACGTTATTGGCTAATCCAACCAATTTGAGTGGATCGGATTGGTTCTTATACCGAATTTCCACCTTGATTCGATATTTTGATTAGACAAACCACGCAAAGTTGCAAGTTTATATACAATTCAATATATATTATATATATATTTTTTCCTGTCAAGTCCATCCTTCTTTGATAATAACGTTACCGATGTTATACTAACTAGCGTAAATATGTATATACTGTTGGCAGACAAGTGTGCATTGTCGTTGGGTACGAAGCGCCGCAGCAGCAGCCTCGGGGACCCGTTTGACGAGGACAACGAGTTGGAAGTGAGCAGCAGCGTCATGACGGACACGGACGACGGCCGACTCATGGCGGCAATGGAGCTCATGGCGCCCGACGGTAGGTCCTCCATACACGTATAATACCCCCCCCCCCGATCAACAACTCTGTGGACATTTGTGTCTTGACGACGACTTTGACCCCAAGTTTGGACGGTTTCTTCGCCAAATCTATCGATCGATGCTTGAACTTTGTAAAAAGACGTGTCCTATGGCGATTGGTATCACACTATTTGAAGTCACACACACTAATTTGATATTCATTGTTCTCCATGTCGCTCCAGAGTATAGACTAACCATGACACAATGAGGTAGAGCTGGCGCTGCTCGAGGAAGACGCGCGGGTGATCCAGCACAACGTCCGCGCGTGGCTGCTGCGCCGAAGCTACCGCCACATGCGCGACACGACGCGGAAACTCAAAGAAGGTGGATGTATATATATATATATATATAATGGAATCACGAGATTTTGAATTGATTGATTTTTTTCTTGATATTAGCGACCCAAACCATCGCCAAGCAAAGCCTGGAAAAGGCGGCCGTGACCGTCCAAGCCGCCACACGGAGTATGATGGTACGCCGCAGCTTTCTGCAGCAGCGCAACACTGCCATCAAAGTCCAAGCGGGTACGAACGATACGATTCCAAGACGAGTTAGGTGCCATGATATAGGTGTGTATGTGTGTAGCGGCGCGCGGGATCATTTGCCGGAAAAAATTTGCACAAATGAAGACAGAAGCGCTGGCGTCGCTCGTGATCCAGCGAAATGCCACAGGCAAAAAACAACCATCCACGAATTAATCACTACTAGTAGATAGACTACTAGTAGTAGGGACTAGACTACTAGTAGTAGATAGACACACATATATATAATTGTACAGTACCCATAGTCAAGAATGATGCTGACAGCATGGGGTAATTGGTCGGGGGTGGGGGGTGGGGGGGGGGTTGTGTATGTATAAGGAACACGTGGGTCTAGTTTACTGGTTGTTTAGTCTTCGCGGAATCGTTTGAACCCTGGGATCGGGGGAGTCCACGTGGGGAACCCTCGTCGGTTGGTGACCAGCGAGAAGTCTTCGACGAGCGCTTCGTTGCGCAACTCGTCGGTCGGCAACGCGTTGATCGCTGCCCATTTCAGGTTGATCTTCATCTGCAAATCCTTCATGAGTTCGTTGTGGCGCACCGACGTCATTCTGTTGTACGTGCGACCAATTTCAAAGTGCTCGCGCTTCTCTTCCTCTGACCACGTGTACTCCTCGGGCTCGCGTCCTTTCAGTGCACGCAGCATCACGTCGTACTTGCCCGAATCGTTGCCCTTTTCGTTCTTCTTCGACGTGGTCTTGAACTTGGCGCTCTTCGCTGGTCGGTCCGACGCGGCTTTCTTTGGCTTAGCTGTCGCGAACGTTCGTTGGACACCGCTGGACGCGCGGGACGCGCTCACGATTCGGCGGAACATGGCTCAAATCCAGTGTGTCACCGAAACCACAGACGCATCAATTGGTTATCATTGGTCTACGGATACTCTATCCGGCATTTTGATGGCAAATTATCCGGATGTCCAATCCACCAATCAGATCACCGACAGTTCTCCAAGATTGATGCTGAAGTGGACCTGCGCCGCCGCGGCCCGCCGCTTCCATACCCTTGGTTTGCATCCAAAGCTGGTCCATTCTCTCAAGCAAAATGGCATCCATGAACCCAGCCAAGTGCAGCGCGTGGTGAGTGCTGCACTGTCTCGTCTTTTGTCCTGATGCAACATTCCTAGGCCATTCCCGCCATCTTGGACGCCGCGCGGCCAGACGTGATTGTGGGGGCAGAAACCGGCAGTGGCAAGACGTTGACGTACATCTTGCCACTGCTAGAGCGCTTCCACGCGCAGTATCCTCTCGGCCACGTTCGTAAACCCATGGCGGTGATCTTGGTCCCGACCCAAGAACTGGTCAAACAAATCGAAACCGTGTTCGGCATGTGCCAGGCCGACATGACCGTCGCGTGTCTGACCAAAACCCACGCGATTCCTCGCCATGCCGCCGTGATCGTAGGCACTCCGAAGGCCCTTCTACAAGTAACGCCGCCTCCTCTTCCTCCACTTCGTGCCTCACCTTTGTCATGCTCGCATCCAGCACGTGTCGGTCACGGACCTCCAATTCGTCGAGTCCATCGTCGTGGACGAAGCCGACATGCTTCTGGGCGGGGGGTTTGAGCGCGACACAAAGCAAATCCTCGGCGTGATCCGCAACCAGCCTCTCTTGGACCCGTCGTTCAACGTGTTCCACGAGACCGCGTTCGACGGCGCCGTTGAGATTCCAACGGCATCGCATGGCCGGCAAACCGTCTTCAGCGCCGCCACCATCCCCACGTACGGACGACTGGCGGTCAGCGAGTACCTCAAGAAGAAGTTCCCCGACGCCGAATACGCTATCACAGACGTACGATGTGATCGACTATGTCATGGGCTAGTAGTACTACTAGTACTACTCGATATTGCGTTTCTTTGTTTCAACAGAATTTTCACCGCACGGTGCCCACGCTTGATCAATCGTTTGTCCGATTGAATGATTCGTCCGTCGACGCGCGACAACAGCTCTTGCTTGAGGTAAGGACTAGTAGCGTGCTGTCCTACTACTAGTACTACTAGTCCATTATGATGTGATGATGGGGTAGATTTTGGCCAACGACAAGTCTGTTGGGACCACGTTGATCTTTGTGGATTCCGTGGCCAGCGCCAAGGCGTTGCATGCATTTTTGCATGTACTTCATGGCGTTCCATGTACCATGCTGCACAAGGTATACTAGTACCTACTAGTACATACTAGATAAGGGTTGGGTGATGTTTATAGGAAATTCCCCGTCAAGAGCGATCGGTAGTGCTTGCTGCATCCTCCTCATCCAACGGCACGTCCAAGCACATTGTGGTGGCGACGGACATCGCCGCCCGGGGCCTGGACTTGCGGCATGTAGGGTGCATAATTGACTATTATTCTTGGACGGCGATAAAGTGATGGTTCTGGAGAGAGGGAAAGTGGCGATAATATGATGGAATTAGGTGAACCACGTGATCCAATACGAGTTTGCAACCAACGTCGTGGCCCATATCCATCGTATTGGACGCACGGCGCGTGCAGGCACCGTGGGCAAGGGTACGTCATATATATATATATATATGATCCAATATTTCTTATATATATATTTGATAGTGACCAACATCATCACAAGCGACAACGAGCTCGTGTACAACGAAGTCGCCGCCGCGGGGGCAACTGGGGCGCTCACCCAAGGGTTCAGTCGGCGCCGAAGTTTGCGCAAGAAATTCAAAAAAGCAGCGCGGCCACAAGGGGACAGCGACCAAGATGCATACTAGAAATATATACAACATGCATATCTGAGTTTGCTTGTGTGCAATTGCAAAGTCCGTCCAGACAACCGAGTATATCAATCAAGCGAACGAAGCGCCACATATACTAGTAACAGGAGTAGTAAGCTCGTACGTACTACTACTACTAGTACTACTACTAGTAGTATTATAACCCACACAGCCCTCGCCATGTTACGCAACGTGAGCAGATAAGTCTGACGGATTAACTGGATATACTGACTGTTGGCAGCACCAAAGCGACTACGTATGATGAATCCCACAAAGTGTTTGCAAACCTAACAATGTCTTCGATACTTCTATTTATAGTACTACTAGTAGTACTCTACTACGGCGACATTCAACCCAACACAGCCTTCATTCTATACTAGTATACTACTACTAGTAGTACTACTCTTCGGTGCCCTTACTTGGTCGAGACAATCTGCTCCACAAAGTACTGGTGCCATCTCGTGTCCGAGGTCAATTCTGGGTGAAATGCCGTCACGAGGATGTTGTCCTATCCATGAGCTTCATATTCCCATTGCAACATTTTGAGTTTTGGGGTACCTTGCGGGCGGCCACGATCACGTCGGTCGGGTCCGACCCGTCGGCGGGCTGCGCGTGGGAAATCTCCGACAGCACGTCGATGTGTTCGCCCACGGACACGATGGCCGGGGCACGGATGAACACGGCGGTGTATGGCTCGTCGCCGTACCCCGGAGGCCCCTGGATCTGTTGTTCAAAGCTCCGGATTTGCGCGCCGAAAAAGTTGCGGCTCACTTCCACGTCCAAGCCACCGATGAGCGCTTGGCCGCCCTAAGCATCCCATCAACATGCCACCATCGAACGGTCGCTTCACACGTACTTGCTTGGCATGGCGCGCGGAATGCGCCAGCAAGATCATACCGGCGCACGTGCCCCAAATGGGTTTCTTGTCATGCACCCATTGCTTGAGGGGTTCGATCTACACCATAAGGCAGGGCTGTGAGCTCGTAGAACTGACGATGTCGATTGTGTGTGTACGTACCATGCCCCATCGTTCCGCGACCTTGGCGATGGCCGTGGACTCGCCGCCGGGAAACACGAGCGCGTCGAGGCCAGCGAGGTCCGCTGGCAAGCGCACTTCCACGGCATCCGCGCCGACTTGCTTGAGCATGTCAATGTGTTCTTCGAACGCACCTTGCAACGCGAGCACACCAATCTTGACCATCGTGTTGTGAAAATTCCAAACTGACGGCGTCCATGGATGGAGTTTGGATGATGATGCTGGAGTTGCACACTGGGCCAGGTCCACGCATTTGATTGGACAATCATTGGGCCAGGCCCAAAACACACCAACATTCTTGAAAGTACAACCTTCACTGAAGCTCACAGCGTCATTGGAGGTTTATCCACGATAAAAGTACTACCCCTATACTAAAGTACTTAAAATATATATTAGTTCTGTATACTGTAGCACGATAATATGTAGCATCGACACAAACAGTATCATTGTGCTGCTTCTTCGGCTGCGTGGGAGGCCAGTGCAGCCAAGCAAGTGCCACTTCGACATCCAAATGGCTAGAATACCACTTGTAGAGCCTTATACTGATCAACCGACTTGCTAACTTGCGGACTTGCTAGCTTGTCGCCACCACAAGAGTCGACGCATGGTCCACGTGTTAGGTGTGGTGGGTGCTCTTCTTTGATATATATTCACGCACTGTAGCCTCACGCGGTCAAGTGTTCACACATGTTGGTCACTGCGACGGCTTGACGTAATGAGACGACACGAATGAGAGTGTTACAGAGTCGATTACAGCTTCGAAAGTCCATAAAAGCTGTTGCCGACGAGCGTGAATACACTCAAGACGCCGCCAAACCACAGGATTCCGCGGTGGGGCTGGAGTTGCTTGACGTAGGCGATCGTGTGCAAGATGCGGAACACGGTGAAGGCCGCGATGGCGCCGGCGTTGACGGCCACGCTCCCGCCAGAGTTCACTGCGGCCCAGGCGGTCAAGAGCCCGATGGGAATGTTCTCCAAGTCGTTGCGGACAATGCGTTCCCATCGAATGTCGGCTTCAACAGCTCGAGCGGACGGCTTTTCACGCAATCCACTGGTGGGTTTGTCATCGCTCTTCTTGGCTTCAGCGGCTTCGTCGAACACTCCGAAAGCTTGGCGTTGCTTGGTGGGGTTCAAGCTCTTGAGGATTTGGTCCTCAGGTGGGCGAGTGCCAGCCGCAAACCGCTTGCCACCTTGGATGAGGAGCGTCAGGTACAGCTTGAGGCACAGAACGCCCGTGGCTCCGATAAGGAATTTGGTGTCGACGGCAGTGGGCATACTGGGTCCACCACGGGTGCGGATGGAAAGTGGCGATGGATGCGTCACCTCATGGCATAATTATTGCCAATCAGCATGATGATGGACCTGCTAAAACGACCAATCAAACGAGAGCTCAACTTCTCTCACTCTCAAAGTACTCTCACTTGAGTACTAGCGTAGTAGTAGTTACTAGTATCAATACGCATTCATAGTAACTGTAAGCCAACTTAGTAGTACCTTGACCAGAGTACTACTAGTACCCTGGCCCAACTGATTGATTCACCAACCCAACAACAGCATGGCAACAACCCCAGTGCGTGTGCTTCCGACGGCCCAGCATGTGCATGGCTGGTATAGCAACACGAGTAGCACCATCGGCGTCGTGAAAATCATCCGCCCGCGAGTCAAGAACTGTCTGAGCATGCAAACTTACCACGAGTTGAGCGACCACCTCCAGTTTTTCCAAGCCGACGCCGACGTGCTGGCCGTGATTGTCACTGCGGAAGGCGACGAGTACTTTACCAGTGGCACCGACGTGAGAGAGCTCGACCCCCAAAGCGTACCGTCGCAGTCCAGCGCCCGTACACTCATGCACACGATCCTGAACTTCACCAAGGTTCTTGTTGGAGCCGTCAATGGCTCTGCCATTGGGATTGGCGTCACCATGTTGCTCTACTGCGACTTTGTGTTTGCAGTGCCGCACGCCACCTTCCGCACGCCGTTTATGGGATTGGGAATCGTTCCCGAGTTTGGCTCGAGCGTCACGTTCCCTGCCCTGTTGGTGCGTTAGGAAGGCACTCAGTCGCATATTATAGGGCACTACAACGACTGACATGTAGGGAAAAGCCGCGACCAACGATTTGCTTCTTCGCGGCAAGACGCTGGACGCATCCCGCGCGGTGAGCGTGGGTCTTGTGACGGAGGTAGTACCTGCAGCTGGCTTTCAGTGCGCCGTAGTGGGCCTCACGGAGCAAGTGACAGGCCAACTGCACGCCAAGCGTAGTTTGCTGCAGTTCAAAGCCCAAATACAACGACTGGGACCGCTGACGAAGCAGCAGGTCGTCGCTGCCATCGAGGCCGAGTACGAAGAAATTGACCGACGATTCCGCTCGGGGGAGATTGTGGAGCTTGGCATGGCATACTTAGCTCAGCTCAAGTCGTCGAGCAAACTATGAGTGTTGTGCTGGAGTGCAAGTTTATGGATACTGTACATATATACAGTAGTATGCGGGGAGTTCGACGGTGGCTTCATGGTGAGAACTTCTTGTACACCTCATTCAACAGAACCAGACAAGGTATCGCCTTGAACATGGAAAAACCTACAAATGTGTTGGTTACAATCCAACACGCTGGACTATCTCTTTGAGGTGCAGTAAAGCGTGTATGTAAACTGTTGCAATACACTGTAGCTCTAGCGGTACCTTGAAGTCTAGTCTGATTATGGCAACTCAGCCGGTTACGGTAGCGGTTGGTCGATCTGGCTAAATATATACCCTCGGCACACTTCCAGACATGTTGGATTTACTCCCAGTCAGTTGGCATTCGGGCTCTCCATTGCGACTCGCTACAACCACTCGACGATGTACTCGGGTACGCTGGGGAGGGTGAACGCCCTCGAGTTCCGCGACTCGTCGCCGACCAAGCTCACACCAAGGGGGTCCCCGATAAAGAGCGTCATGCAACCGTGTCAAGTGGCCCCCGCATCGTCGGACGCTATTCAAAAGGCGTTTGAAAAGATGAAGGAAGAAGTCGCACAGGGGGGATCGACGGCGTGCGCGGGGTTCACGGAAGGTACTGTAGGTACCCGCACCACCACGATCCCGTTGGGGGGGTATTCTGTCTCGATACTTATAATACCCCCCTGTCGTAGCTGATTTGCTAGCGTGCTTCAACTTGACACCGTCCCCCACCAAACAACAGCAGCGTTTTTCTGCAACGACCCCGTCGTTCCCCAACAAAGAGCCAGACCCAGCGCCCAAGGGCGTCGACGAACACGCGCTTCTGCTCAACGCGCTCTTGTCGTCGCTAGCCAAACTCAACGTGAACAAGTCGAGAAACGAGCAAGAAGAAGAAGAAGACGACGAGCCACCCTACTCCCCGTCGTCGCAGCAGTATCATGCAGCAGCCCTGATCACCCCCCCTCCAAGCCCCGTGTTGTCAGGTACGCCTAATCCACACGCGTGCGCGTCGCTCCCATGGTAATGAAGTGCCGCCGTGGGTATTGACTAGCCAAACCATCGCCGATCAAGCGGTCCCCGAGCTCGCTCGGCCGGATTCAAGAGAACGTCAACGAAGACATGGAGTCCCCGCGGTCTTGCTCCGAACCGACGACAGATGTGACGATCTTGCCCATCCACGAAGTGAAGCGGTGCTTGAGAGGGGGATCGTTTGCATCGCGCATTCGCGTGCGGCGGCAGCCCAGTTTGAAAGAACTCGACGCCAAGCGCGTGAGCGACGTGGTGGAGAAACTGAACCGAAGCAGCATCGTCCAGCTCTCAGCGTCGCCGCGGCGACTGAGCGTCGTGGACCCGAAAACAAGGTCGCTGAGTCGGGTCAACAGCCTTGACGAGCTGCAGCCCCCCGATGCCCCCACCCCCCTCAGCCGAAAGCCGAGCCTCGTAACCCACTCGTCGTCCCCTCGGTCGCTGAGTCGGCGGTCCTCGAGCGTGTCCTTTGCGTCCCCTCCCGTGATCGTCGTCGCCGAGCCCCCTGCGACGCTGCGCAAGAAAAAGAAAAAGTTTCAAAACCACCAGGCCCGCATGTCCACTTTGGCATCGCACATCAAGAAGCTCCTCTTGCGATCGGACAAGGCCAAGCGTACCAAGGTGCAACTGGATGCGTCGACTCGAGTGTACGTTTCTTTCTTACTGCATTGTACTCGTTGTTTAGCAACGATGACTCACTACTCGGGAGCCAGTTGGAATTGGAGCTCATTGCTGCCATGTAGGAGCAACATGCGGCTGGGGTCGTCGCCGAAAAAGTGCAAAGTCAAACACGAAGACCTGATTACATTTACGCGCCCCAACTGCCGCCCGCGGCGGTGGGTGCCCAAAGCCGGCGAGCCACGTATGTTTGGACATTCCACGTGGCTGCCAAAACAACCCGAACTTATCTCATAGTTGCACGTTCCTCTAGTGCTGGAGCGTCAACAATCGTACGTGAGCTTGGACGTGATGGACAACATTGGCACTCGAGCAGCGTGTCCGGTGCATTTGCTGTCGGAGAAGCCCAACACGGATTTTTCGTACGTGCCTGGCGTTGTGAATTCGCACAATCGCCGCCGCCGTCGCCGGTCCAGTCGGCACCCCAAGCTCATGAAACGGCCGTCGCTATGGATCGTGGACTAGGCAGCACCAACCATCATCGCACGCCACATGAAGATCTCCGTCTAACTTACCAACAACCTTTCAGAATCAATCAGAACGATGCTGCTTTTGTGTGGCCAGAACTTGGCACGTGCGTTGCTGCGTGGGGCATGCATGTACTACTACGTAGTACAGTGTACCTGGTACATAACGTTACTCTGGACTTGCCATGCAACCCCCCGCAATGTCAGTTGATGGCCAGACGAGATGTGCAGGCCTATCCATGCCTCTCATCCCCCACATCAATTCAAGCGCAGGCTGTTGTGGCAAGTTGGAAACGTTTCGGGCTACCGATACAGTATGACAGCTGGTAAGTTAAGAACTTGTTGTTCGTCATGTTGAACTTTGCTGTGGCGGGGCTACTGGGTGCACAATGCGAATTTGAAGCAGACGTTTCCATGACCAATTTCCTAATCATATGACTGGGCCTGCTACCATACAAAACCCAAGTTCTTTTTGGCAAATAGTCAAATTCAGTTTCAACCCGAAACATAACATTTCACCTCACGTTAGAGGTCACCTTACCACACGGGAATAGCATCGTATGTAAGCAAGCACCAGGGTCTGGGGGTTCCGACGTTGCGGGGCTAAGGGGCCCTGGAGTCCAGCACACCGTTGCCGCCTGCGACGCGTTAGTACTACCGGTACTTGGTCGCGACGGACGCAGTAAATGGGCATGATACTGGTACAGTGACGGAAAAGACCAAGCAGTTCACCCTGCCAGCTTGCACTTGCCCCGCCTAAAAAATGATTACTGATCAACAGTACTACTGTTGCAGGGAGGGAATTACAGTACCCGCGCGGTACAGCATATTATTCCGCGTGCTCTGTACCGGTATCAACATGGACAGAACGAGGCTGTAGAACGTCGACGCAGAACGTCCTACTATACGCTTTGCCTCCACTTGCCTTTCTCTTTGACTCGCCCGCCAGCACTCGTATCCATGTAATAGAGACGAGAACAGCCAAGCGGAATGCATGGAGTACTACCAGAAAGGACGACCTGGACAGGACAGAACGCTGTTTCAAACGCGTTTGGAACATGTTTCGTTCCCAGTAAATTATTTATACTCACCTGGACGTTGATTGGATGTTTCTTGAGACATGTGTTTGTATCGCTTGGTGATTGGCCAATTTCTACCTGGCAAACCGACCAGAACCACCTTGTCAGGGACAAACGGCACAACGTTTTCCTCACAGCCTCGCAGGTCACACACACCCTTGAGACCGGCCACGACTGCTGCGACGACAACATCCACATGAGCGATCTTAGCTTCAAAGAGAAGATTGGGAAGAGCTTCTCCTTCCTCTCGGTCCTCAGCAAGAAGAACAAGGCGCAGCCGCATACCTTTACTGACACGTATACCGACCCGGTCAAGGTTGAGCCTACGCGGCACATCGACTCGCATCCGCCGTACCACCACGACCCTTTTGAATCTCAAGCTTATCACCAACAACACCAGCATCAGCAAGATCATCATATCCCGCCACAGCAGCAACTGCACCACCAGCATCACACTCCGCCGCCACTACCACCCATGCATCCGTACATGTCCTCGGTCCACGAACGCACCAACGTCGACGACCTGCTCTGCACGCCAACCCCCGAAAACCGGTTCCCCACCCCCACGGCAGCGTTCCCCACACCAGACGCGCGCTTCCCGACGCCGACCCCGGACATCAAGTACCCGTCACCATTCGACTTTACCCGAGATCGCCCCACCCCCGTCGAAAAGATGGAGGACTTGCAGCAACTGCAAGAAGCGTTGCTCCCGTCTCCATTTGACTACCTTCGCAACCAGCAGCACCAGCAACAACACCTCCACAACCCATACCTGAACAACCCCCACACGTCGCCGTTCTACCCGGCGTCATCCCAGCCACACCACCATTCGTACGACCCATCTACACAGCAACATGGCGCCTTCCGTTCCCAAAAGGACAAGCAAGTGGTCGACGAAATCAACACGCTGTGTCGTGACTTGGTTACCCATGGCCTCCAGACCAAGGAAGCTGCGGCGGCGGCGGCAACTTCTCGACGGAACGAAGGCCCCCCCGCCGCCACGTTGGATGTGATCAAACCAGAACCTGCGCACCAGCTGCACGACTACGGGGTACGCACCAACTATACCACTAACGTACGCTTCTTCGTGCCTTACAAAAGCTGCTTGCTGCATGTAGCATGTCGTCGAGTCAGGGTACACGTCCGGGGGCGGGCGCAGCTACGATTCGGACTCGAGCAGCTGCGATATCAAGCGAGACCCCACCAGCACTTCGAACAAGCAGTATCGCCGCAAGAACTGCTCCATGGACGGCTGCAACAACCTATCTCGGTCCAAGGGCCTGTGCAAGGCCCACGGCGGCGGCCGGCGGTGTTCGGTGCAGGGGTACCTCCCGTCATGCTCATCTTCAATCGGCATGCTGACTTTGAAATGTGTGCAGGTGCACACGGGCGAGCCAAAGCAGCAGCTTGTGCATCGCCCACGGCGGCGGCAAGCGGTGTACAGTCGACGGATGCACCAAGGCCGCGCAGTCCCGGGGCATGTGCAAAGCCCACGGCGGCGGCGTCCGGTGCCGCGTGGAAGGCTGCACTAAGAGCAGTCAAGGCGATGGCTACTGTCGGTCGCATGGTAAGCACACAGGGGACGGATTCCAGTTGTGAAATATGGCGAGACATTGGAGTTGTCCTTTTTTACCCAAACTTTGTACCCAATCGCCCAATCTATATCGATCAATTCGTTGTGCCTTTCATCTAAAGTTGGACTGGAGAGTCATTTCGCCAAATATAACTTTCGAATCGATTTGATCCTATAAAGATTATATACGTGGTTTTGCCCAATGCGGGGTCAAACGTGTTTTGATTGGCAGAATATATTCGACATGACGTGATTTGATTGGCAGTTCTTGAATCGATTCTCCCAACATTGGTCCACAGTTTTGAAGAATCGATTTGTCAATACTGAATGTATGTAAATAGTATGGTCCTATACTGGGGATGATTTGTATCACACTAATTGAAGTCACACACTAATTTGATTCTGTTGATGACGATGGTTTTCTGCAATCTGATTGGCTCAATCCTTCTTGTGTCCATTATTTGGTTGGGTCGATTTTCATTCGCCATGTCGCTCCTTTAAACAATATATATATATATATATATATATCTAACGATCCACCAACCCTATATATATATATATATATATATATCTACCGATCCACCAACCCCATGTGTGGTCGATTGCAGGAGGCGGACGGCGATGTGGACATGCGAGCGGGTGTCTGAAGTGGGCGCAGCGGAACGGCATGTGCATGACACACAGCGAGGGCAAGTACGGCAACAGCTACCGCGGCCGGCTTCAGCGTCAGGCGGGGGACACCATGAGCGACACGGACATGATGGACGAGTGAGAAACGCGAGTTTGTCCAATGGTCGAAATAAACTTATGTACATAGTAGTAGTAGGTTTGTCTAGCAGTAAGTAGGAGCACTGGAGTCGTCGTTGGGGTAACTAGTACTGACACGGTGGTGGTGGGGGATGCAGTGTAAACCCGCCTTGTGTGGGGGATTGATTGGTTAGGGTTGGATGTGGCAAGGAGGGATACTAGGAGATGTATGGCCACAGGGCAAACTGCTGGGACCCAGTGTAGGTTGGGCAGACCAAGTTGAAAGCGGCGGCGAGACCCCTACCACAGACATGGTTAGTTGTAAACCATAACTACATGTATCAAACAGACGGAGGTACGAAGCGACCGCCGACAAAGTGGAGCCCTTGGAAGTGCTGCGCGCATTGCTTGGGGGCGGTGAGCGACACGAGGACATGCGGATGGAGGCCGCGGCCGTCGGGGTCGCCTGTGGAGTCGTGTTTGAGTGATGGGGGAACATTTCGACAAGGAAGTTCCGACCACGTTCGACGTCCCATCCGGACGGAATGTCAATCGATACGATGGGAGTGGAGCTGCGAGCTAGGAGGGCGAGGATGTTGTCGAAAGGGGCGCGTGGCGGGCCCTACATCTCGCGTCGTGAGTCGGCGGTGGATGCAAGAGTATGTAGTCCGCACGCGAAAGCTAAAGCCAAAGATGCCATCCAAGACGAGTCCGTAGCGACTCAAGTCGCTGCTGCATGACAAGTGAGAAGCATGAACTACATGTGTGAACATGGTACGATGTGTCGATGGAAGGCACAAAGGGAATGCCAAGGTCATGGCATTGTTGAACCAGGCGCTGTACATCGACATGATGTAGATGAGAAGCCCCGCATGGATGTTCATGTGTAATACTACTTACTTGGTACAGGGGGTTTGCCGTCGGTTTTGGGTAATGCACTTCCGGTAGAAAGCCGAAATGCTACCACGTAGATATGTAGTTGGGAGAAGGTTCACGTCGTCAAGGCAACGAGACACTTCTACCTTTAAATGACGTGCTGCAACTAGGGCGTCTCCTCTACATCGACCGTCAGTGCGGTCTTGAAAGGTAACGATGAGTACCCATTGTTCCCAGGACCAGCGACGACCAAGAGCGGAGTGGCCGCAACATGCCAGAATTCATTCTCGACGACGCATGCTACGCTCAGCCCCGCCAGTTCCATCAACTGATCGATTGAGAACGCATACGTCGACATGAGCTCCTCGTCGATGCGTTGCGCTTGGGCTTGACTCAAGAACTACCTCAACATGCATCAGAATGGACGCATCGCTGCGGGACGTACGCGAAGTTGCGGCAGGCGCATGTCGGAATTCTCGCTATGGACTTTAATTGGCTAAAAGCAATCAATATAGACAGTCATGATTGGCTGATTTGTTTAGTCAGTTACACTTTCCCATTTTAGGTTTGTAGTCGGTTTCGCCACAACCTGAAAAGTCGCCACCCCATTCAGGCACACGGGATGGCGGAAGTCGCGGAGCTCAAGCTCCACAAAGTCATCGGATACAATGGTTGGCTTGTTTAGCTATTGTTTTGACATCGATATATATCATGCATCCCTAGGAACGTTCAACAACACTGTCCTGTACACGAACGATGGGCACTACCTCATCTACTCACTGGGCCTAACCGTCGTCATTCGCGACCTGCGATCGAACGCCCAAGGGTTTCTGCATGGCCACACTGACATCATCACGTGCTTGACCATCTCCAACAACGGCCGGTTGCTCGCGTCCGGACAGCAGAGCAAGAGCCGGGGCAACAAGGCGCCCGTCCTCGTGTGGGACCTCCGCGGCGCCATCACAGCCATGGCAGGCAAGGCCAACCAAAGCGACAAGGTCGTGTACCGCCTTGTCCTTCATATGGGCAAGGTACAGGACATGGCATTTTCGTCCCAGGATACGTGTCTGTACACGGTGGGCGGCCAGGACGACAACGCGCTCGTGTGCTGGAACATGGAAACTGGCGAGCCTATTTGTGGTTGGTCATGCTCTTCTTATGGCTTGGGTTGTTTTAAAACTTGAATATGATATGTCTCGTAGGCACCCCGGCCGGCGACGACTCAACTCTGGTCGTGCGTTCGTTCCGAACCGCAAACAACAACGACTTGCTCATCACGGGGGGCAACTACGCGTTCAACGTGTGGCGCGTAGACCACAAGCACCGCAAGTTCCACCCCCTCCGCGCCAACTTGGGCAACTTGAAGCGCATCATGTCGGCCATCGCCATCTCCCCCGACGACAAGATCGCATACGTCGGCACCAAGACTGGCGACTTGCTCGAGATCATCCTCGACTGCGATTTGACTAAACCCAACTGCGCGTTCCCGCCCGTGGGGACTCAAAAGCCCCGCTACAACCGCACGACCAAGGAGCGGTTCAGCCAAGGCATCAACACCGTCGTGGTGCACGAACACAACCAGCAGCGCTTCCTGCTTCTCGGCGCGGGGGACGGATCGCTCGTCGTGCTCCTACCAGGGGGGGTAACCGACCCCATCAAGTCGACCCCCATCCCCACTGGCCCCATCGAGAAGCTCCAGGGGGGCATCACAGCGCTGAGCGAAGGGCCCCACGGACAGTTTTACGTGGGCACGAACCAAAGCAACATGTACCTGGCCACGCTGCCCAGCGAAACCACGATCAAAGCCGAGCTTCGCGCGACTTGCCACTACGGCAGCATCAACGACGTCGTGTTCCCCAAAGCGCCGTCAAAAGGCGTGGAAATGAACTCCAATCTGTTTGTCACGTGCTCCAAGACGGACATCCGCGTATGGAACGCCCGAAAGGCCCAGGAAATCCTGCGCATCCAAGTGCCCAATCTCGTGTGTAACTGCGTGGATTTAACCGTCGACGGCAGCGTGATCGTGAGCGGGTGGGACGACGGCAAGGTCCGCGCCTTCTACCCCGAGTCGGGCAAATTGAAGTTTGTCATCCAAGACGCGCACAACGAAAGCGTCACCGCCATCGCCGTGTGTCATGACACCGACCACGAGCGGGAATGGCGCCTCATCACCGGCGGCAAAGACGGCCGCGTCCGCGTCTGGCGCATCACGCCGTCCCGCCAGACCATGGAAGCGTCCATGAAGGTACTACCAAATGATGATGACGATATCGGATTTGTTCATTCCGACATCACCGAGCAAGCACCACCACGCCCCATCGTTCCGACGTCACTGTTTCTTACCACCAGTGCCAACCACCGTAGGAACACCGCGGTCCAGTGAATAGCATCCAAGTCGTACGCGACAACTCGAGCTGTGTGAGCGCCTCGTCGGACGGGTACTATATATATATATATATTAAATATATTACCATTCGAACTACAAAACATATCGCTTCACATATAGTTCGAAGGACTATGCCTCTAATCTTTCAAACATACATAGGTCGTGCATTTCGTGGAACTTGGACAACTTTACGCGCGTGCAAGCCATGTTTGCGTCGACGGTGTTCCGGCGTATCTTGTACCACCCCGACGAGTCTCAAATGCTCACGTGCGGGTCGGACCGACGCGTGACGTACTACGACTCGTACGACGGCGAGGCTATTCGGATCTTGGAGGAGGCGGCGGACGGCGAGATGCTGGCCCTCGACATTGAACGGTATACACAACAGCACTCCTAAATATAGGATTGGTCATCTGGTTTTGTGTGTGTGTGGGGTAGGAGCGGCAACATTTTCGTCACGGGCGGCCGCGACAGCACGTTGAAAGTGTGGCACTACGACAACGGAGAGCCCATTGGCGTGGGCAAGGGCCACAGCGAAGCCATCAACGCGGTCAAGATCAGCCCCGAGCGCAAGCATATTGTGACCGTGGGAAGCGAAGGCGCCATCATGATTTGGGAGATGGGCGAGTTGCTGACGCACACCAACAATTAGTCGTGGGATGAATGCCTACGTTAGTTTACGGTAGTTACATACCATTATACTTTCCATTAAGAGTGTGTTGCTGCATACTATTACATATATTAATAATAGTAACGTAAGAGATTTTTTCAACGCTGCTTGGATACACATTTCGTGAACTGTAAACAACTTGATGATTGCCCATTTGAAATGGGCAAACACATTTGACAGATAACTATGTAAGCTGAAAAAACGACTAATTCCTAGCCAATCAAACGTTGCTTGATAGCATTACGTCCATTGCTTGCTTTCCGTAAAACTGTGGACGGTAAAACTAACAGTAAACTACCCGACTTTACAGTTAATCTAATATTAATAAGATCACCTACAAAATTTCACTGAAAATGGCCATGTGGACCTTGGAAGTTACGAATTATCTCGCCCAAACGTACGGTACCAAGTTGGGAGCACGTCCAGCTAATTGGCAAACTCAAATGTTCATTAGGGAAGCGACTAAGTTTTAAAGAGCCGAGAAGACAAACATACGTGAGGATATGCTTCTGATTGCATGTTACTAGTAAATAATGTAATGGCATTCGATGGGTCAATAAATAGGGGTGTGCTTTCGGCAACGAACGGTCATAAGTTAAGGCGACGTTTGGGACGCATTCGAGTTCAAAGTACTCTTGCCAAGACGTTTCCCACAGAACAACGTTTGATGAGCGACGACTTCACGGGGAGCTCCGTCGGTAGACACCTGGACGAAAGCTTGAGGTCCATTGCCACCTGTCGAACCAGTTTTGGCGTCATGTGCACCGGTGGAGGAGGCCCGAGGTCCAAATCGTCGGTATTGCTGTGGATGCCGATAGCTGTTTGGGTAGAGGTACAGTTGAATGCCGTCGGGTGGCCCATGAAGTTGTTGGAGGCTCGAGGAATAGTGAAATGGACAGATCGATACTCGAGCGAAAAGACACACGCTCTATGAGAATGGATGTCCACCAACATTCCGATTGTATAGGTGGTGGCTATGTTTGCATCTTGGTATTTCAGCCAATAGAAACCCACCGTTACGTAGACATTACATTTTCTCATTCAAGTCGTAAACATGCCTCATAGACTTCAACAACAGATCGCTTGTTTTCATGTCGTGACGTTAACACAAATGGTGGTGCTGATGTCGTGTAGCACTAATAATAAATACTGTTCTTGATCCATACCTTACGAGTTGTCAACTAAGCGGGCTTCCTACACCCCCCTCTCCCAAGCAACATGAGATTTTACCATCATTCTAACAGAATGTTCGTGCATAGAGTTCCACAGGTATCAAAGTTAAAAGGTTTATCCGAATCCAGATAAGTATCGGTTTCAGAGTCAAATGCCAACCACGTCAGTTACGTCCATTGCGATCTTGGCTCGATGACCATCAAGGAAGACGCCGTTCGCATGGAGTCGGTGGTGTCACAGCTACCTTCACCCAGGGTTGCATCGCCACGGGTGACTTCACCTACCAAAACTGACCCAAAACTCCTCAGCCGGCTCAGTACGTTGGACATGATGACGATCAATCAAAACAAATCGTTGTCCGTGCGTGATCGCATTCGAGAGATGCACGCTCTCAAACTAGCTCCGTTTCCTGTGGCTTGTCGTCGAGAGTCGACCGTCACCGATGTCACTCCGATGTCGCTGGCGTCGTTGCCGTGCTGCGCCCATCCGTACCATTCCGCCGACACCACTCTCCACCTTGACCTCCATGGTCTGTCTTGGAAACGCCGGTATATTCCTACCAACGAATTATTGGGAGCCGCCGTGTCCGCCGCATTGCCGTCCCTCTTCGTCGTTCATTATCTGGAGAAGAGTCCATCGCACCAACTTCGGACTGTGCAGGTGCTGTATAGTTTATTCCAATATAGTACCACCGCCATACAAAACCCCGGTCTTGAATGCGCTGTCGTGTGCTATCTAGTTCCAAGCCGAATCAAACGAGGCCGCCGCAGCGTGGATCGACGCCATTCAAACGATCGTCAAGTGGCACGCCAGAGTTCCGTTGGATGTCACGCGTCGAGTGCAAGTGGTGTTGGACACCACAGTCGCAACCTCCGCCGAGACTTGGGCTTCCGCACAGCCGTACTTGGCGATGGCGTCTATTGCTTGCACCGTCGTGGCCAGCGAAGACATAGTGTCGTTCGGCCAGTCGCTGCCCGTGGGTGGAACTTTCGAAGCGTGCCTCGTGGTTGGCACGGCGCTGTCCCTCCACCGCGTAGTCAACGGCATCTTCCAGCAACAAGAGCCGCGCTGGCGCACGTTGCTTCCGTCACTTCCGCTGGGTCTGCTGCTCTCGTCACCTCTGTCACCATCTGCCTCCTTGATACCCGCGGCCAACGCCGTCCTCATCTACAACCTCATCAAGCGTAAAATTCGACCCCGCCACGCTGTGGCCTGCCACTTCAATCAGGAATTCGTCGTGCTTGCCACCGACTCTGTAACGTTGGGCCAAACAAGCTTTGGTGCCACCAGTCAAGGCTCCATCATGCCAAGTGTCCAATTTCAAGCGTCGTCCAGCGTCACGCCTGTCGACTCGAATACCCCCCCAACCGACAGCGACGACGACCCAAACGTGAACCTCCAGCACCACGCCGAACTATGCAGCGTCTACAACGACATCGATCCAACACTCAAGATGTGGAAAGGCTCGATTACAGGCAATCAAGACGTGCAACACGAAGCGACGTCCAGAACCCCGCCGCTCCTGGGGCTCCGCTTGCGTTTGCTGCATCGACACCAAGTCATGGCTGTTCAGCAGTTTACACCAGGGTCGTTATGGCATCGATGGGCGCAACACTGCCCCTTCTCCTCGTCGTCGTCCCCCCTCAAGAACATTCTATCCCCCCAAGACGGGGCCAGTCAAGCGTCGAGCTTGGTGCTGGCGTTGCCCCACGTGTGGAATGTGTCGATTGATACTTCGCCGACGAGATTAGTGTCTGGCCACGTGCAGTTTGACGTCCTTCCACATCTTTTGCACTGCTTGATGTAGATGTGTCGTCGTGACCCGAACTAGACTATATAACTCCCTTTTTAAAAATACATATATCTTGGTTGAATGATGCTGTTTTGCAACTATGCCAACACGCTGGGAAAGTGCGTCGACTTGGAGCTTCCTGCGAGGACATTCACCATGGCCGTGTGGCCGTGGTCATCTTCAAAGTAACAGATTTCCGACGGGTGCTGGCCAGTCCACGGCGGAATGACGTACCCTGTCTCACCATCCATGAGATGCTGCATCACCCGCGCCATAACCACGTCGCACGACGCAAACAACCGGACGCCCGTGTCCTCGGCGCGCTTGTCCAGCCGCGGCAGCGTCTTTTGCAGATTTACAATGATCAAGTGGTTGGCAAAGTCGCCCGCCATTTCGCAAAACGGCTCCACGCGCAGCGACGTGCCTACAAACTCAACCGATTAGATGCAGCAGTGGAGATCGTGGATGTACCGAGGACGAGCGCGACGTCGGCGACCTCGCAGTGGTCGATGGCTACATCGATGTCGTCCATGGGCTCGTTGAATCCAATCACGTAGCGCTTCAAGCGCCCGTTGCCGTGCCGCGTCCGCTTGGCCAGCCGCGCACTCGCTGGTTTCTTCATGGATGGACATGCGTCGCTGTTGCAAAGCCCGCTGAGAGGGAAGTTGTCCTTGTACACCTTTTCGCACGTGTCGCAGCGAGCAAAGGTCGCGTTGCCGTGGACTTCGGTCAAATGAACTTGGGGAATGCCGCTCTTCCGATGCAGGTTGTCCACGTTCTGGGAGACAATGTGCTTGAGGTACCCGAGGCGATATAGCTCGTACAGGGCCATGTGGGTTGGCGAAGGCACGAGCGAATGGAAATCAGGAATCACAGGTGGCGACTTCGACGACGACGCTGCGAGTCGCGACTTCTTCGTGCGAATACCGTTCTCGCCGCGGTAATCGGGCACACCTGTTGAGGTCGAGATGCCGGCTCCAGTGAATGCCACGAGATGTTTGGATGTCTTGATCAGTTGGGCGAGGCGCTTACAGTCCTGGTCAAACTCATCGTGGTCTTGGGCTGGCGACAGCAGCGCGGCCAACGAGTGCTTCGCGGCCGTTGTCATGGCCAGAGTTGCAAATACACTGAGAATATTGTCGTTCGAATTGGAGAGTCACATGATTGGTCGAAAAATGTTTTTTTTATTACGAGGGACACATTATGAAAGTAAGTTCTCGGCGAAGGAACAAGTTGTTGAATAAAATTTGCACGAAATTCGAAAGAGTCACAACTTGCACCATCTCATGGTGGAGATCGATCTCATCCCTGCTCTCCATGATGCTGCCATGTAGTCGCTAGGACATACTCGACTAATGACTAGTACAGCTCCTTCATATTGGCAAAGAGACATGAATGCCACTTGCAACAACACAACGCTCCAAGGAGGAGTACGACCTTCTTCAGTTTACAATTAAGCCAAGGTGGGCTTGTCTTTGGTCTCTGAGTCGTCTTCGGCGGCAGGAGCTGCTTCTTCGTCAGCTTCCGGTGCAGCGTCTACTTGGCGCCCAAGCCTGGCACCTTCAACCAAGGACTTGGTCTCGTCCAAGATCTTCTCGCCTTTCGCCCTACAATGTATGTGTCATGTGACGTGACTCTTCAAGGACAAGGACACGTACGAAGCAGCTAGGGCCAACTCCACCGCCTTCTCGGGTTCGCCTGATCGGATTAGTGCGCTAGACATTGAAGCTCGTAAGTGCCTCCTTCCTTCGAAACATGTGAACGATAGAGGCGAGTACCTGACGACGGCGTGATAAGTCGTGGCGTTGGGCTTGATCTCGTACTTCTTGGCGGCCTCGAAGGCAGCAATGATGCTGGCGTCGTCGTTCTTGGTGTAGAAGTGCGAGAGCAACTTGTTCAACGGGCCCGCGGTCAAGAACAACCCAAGACGGTAGTTGTTGGTGAGGGCGTTGAGGGCAACGTCGCCGGCGTCATGCTGCAGGCATGCCTTGATGAACTCACCCACAGTGGTTTCGATGGGGTCAATGTGCTTGCGCTCGTACACCTTGAACGCGTTCGTAGCCGCGTTCAATTCGTCCTTGGAAGTCACGCGCTTGAACAAATTGGTAAGCTTGCTCACTTTGATGAACCTGTTCTTCTTGGCATCTCGCTCCAGGTCTTCCAAGAGGACAGGGAAGGCTGGGAGCACATATGGGGACTGCGTGGACAGCGCACGGACGCCGGCGACGCGGCCAGCTTTGCGGGACAATTGCGACAACATGGTGGGTCTTGATCAAACTGAGCGACTGGTGTGAACGAGGTACTTTTGGACCAATCACAACGCTTGATCGGAATAAGCCCACTCGAATTTAATTAAGATACCTATTTTAATATACCATATACTATAAGCGTATTTTATTTAAGGGCACCACCATTATTATAAGTTGTCTTTTTCGTGTGATTGGTGGAACAAATCGGGTTCAAGTTGCTGGCCATCAAGATGTTGGCACTGCGAGGCCGAAGCATTGTCCGCCTGCGCGTGCCGCTTCTCCATGTGGCTTCGTTCAGCTCGGACGGCGCTCCAGTGAAGCCACAATTCGAAGAGATTCTCCGAGACATCCACATTGAAAACGATGCCAAGAAGAAACCCAGCGTCCACAAGCTGACAGCATTGTTCCGAAGCGTGACGTCTCGCCAAGACCTCATCGAAGCTGCCAAGACATTGCGCATCTACGAAGTGAACTTTGTCGATCCAAAGCAGCAAACCGCAGGAGAGTTCATTAAAGCCGCGATCAAGCAAGACGCAGAAGACCTGGCCCTCAAAACCTTTCAGCAGCATCACCGCATTGGGATGTTTGTGAGCACGGGGTCGCTCAACAACTTGCTGGTGCACCTGTACAAGAAGAAGGACCACGCCAGTGCGTTGACTTTGTACCGAGAACTGAAGCTTTACAAAGTCGAGCCGAACGTTGAAACGTATTCGCTCGTGCTTCGGCACTTGCTTGGGGCGAACGAATTCGCCCAGCTCTTGGACACTTTGGCCACGGCAGGGTACGTCCGTCCATCATCCATCTCTCTCTTTAACGTTGAGTGTGCATTTTCATCTCTGCTTTATGTTTAGGGCGGCCAACATGGTCAAGGCCAACACCCTCAACCACATCCTCATTCAACTGACCAAGCATGGCAAGCACGACGAGGTGCGTAGAATGATGATCTATTAACTAACCTACCACAGAACTGTGGTGACGAACCTTCAAATATGTAGATTATCAACGTGCTTGACGTCGCCTCGACCCACAACATCCCACAAAACGATATCACAAAGTCGGTCCTTGGATCCAACCAATAAATATAGCTTTTCCGGTCTTATATTTTTTGGTTCTGCTACAGTAGTGTAGGATCATAAACGGCACTTTCGTCCTACATAGAGCATCTCCAACGGTGCTTTTATTTCTAAGTATTTCAATTCGAAGTTACGGATATAGAATAGAAACTCTTGCACTATCCGGACGGTTTGTTGCTATTTCACGCGAAAATAGAAATTCTGTGGAAGTAATTTCTAAAATGTCCGGATAATGCCAAAATAGCAACCGTAAAAACGAAGTTTGACTTTAACCTATGCTTTAGCAATAGGTTAGAATTTACCGTTGGAGATGCTCTTACTCGGTTAGCACGAATCGTCGATTGCATTTTGATCTCATTATTATTGTTGTGTTTATTCTAAACTGGAACAACATGAAAATGAATCGACTCCACCAAATGTACACAAGAATCGGCAGTACAGATAACGACGGAATAAGTGGCCCTGTGGTACTTCAAAAAAATAGAACTTCAAATTTGTATTGGGACAAACTACTTCGTAAAGAAGAATACTTAAATCAATACGAAAGTTTAGTACCACATGGCCACTTATTCCGTCGTTATCTGTACTGCTGTCCTCCGTATGAATACTAGGATTTCGCCATCAACGTCAAATTAGTGTGGAACTACAATTAGTGTAATACCAATCACAATTTCACAGTAATAACAATGATCTGATTGATTTGGTGATTGAGCACAAAAGTCAACCAAATTTTGGGTAAACGGACAAATAGTTGAAGCCGACAACCATTCGCGTGTTGCTTGAGGTTACGGATAATGGGTATCATCCGGATAATTATGCATTTTCGATGTTGCTGCGGACGCTCCGACACGTCCATGGGGCCAGTGGCGGTGGCCATCGTCGGCAAATGTCGATGCTCACGCGTGACTACATCCACAAATGTCTGTACAGCAAGGAAGTCGGGTACTTCACATCCGAGAAGAGGGAGGTGTTGCATGCACCAAAGGAACCCATGGCGTTCCACGACTTTTGGGGAAAGCGTGAGTACAAGGCGGCATTGGCCAAGCTATACCAGGTGTGTCCATACACTGGTCATGGCATGTCCATGATATGTTGTTAGGCAGACAAGGAGGCGTGGATGACGCCTGTGGAAGTGTTTTACCCGTACTATTCGCACGCGATCGCGAATTACATGCTCATGTCGCCATTCACAACGGACAAATTGTCGATTTACGAGATTGGCGGCGGGGCTGGCACCAATGCCAAGTGCATCCTCGACTACATTCAGGTACACAAACTACTCTATACCCAGCGAGCCATGCATCCATTTTGCGCTTGGTGATGCATAACACTTTCTTACTTTTTGGCAGGAGCAAGCGCCGGCGCTTTACGAACACACGACGTACACGCTGATTGAAATCTCGCCGCGGATGGCCGCTCGGCAACGCGAGCGCATCAAAGACCATGCGGGGGTCGCCACGGTGATCAACACGGACATCCTGACGTACTCGGCGCAGTTTCCAGCGTTCAAGGACTCGTGCTACTTTGTGGCGATGGAGGTGCTGGATAACCTTCCGCACGACAAGGTCTTGCAGGACGGCGGCGAGTGGTTCGAGACGTGGGTCGATCCCACAACGCTGTCGGAACAGCGCCGGCCGCTCGAGGACCCCCTCGTCCGCCAAACACTTGACCATTTTCCAATCGACTTGCCTTTGCGCGAGGGGTACAAGCCTGCGACACGGTACCACGTCAGAACGCACGGTTGTGTGGCGTTATGTTTGGAATGCGTAGCTTCGTTCGCAAAGCGATGGGCATGGCCGACAAGACGCTGCACTCTGCATTTGTCCCTACCGGCGCCATGCAACTGCTCCACACCCTCCACACGAGCTTTCCAAAGCACCATCTCATCGCGGCAGACTTCGACGAACTCCCGGCGCCATCGCTCGACGCTTCTTCGTCGCATCCGCTCTTCCACCACCCCCGCAGCCCCACGTCCACCGCATCCGGCCCTCTGCATGCCGCCAATGCGCCGCTGGTGGCGTCCAAAACGGCCGGTATTGTCCTTTTACCCAAAAGTCGGACTTGTGTGCTGATTCGCCAAATATATGGATCGATTTTCTTTGTACTGCACGTTGTATGGAAAAAGGTGTTTGGTCGTTATCACACTAGTTTAAGTCACACACTAATTTGACGTTGTTGATAGTTGTTTCCTGCAACCTGATTGGCTCAATTCTTCTGCCGATGAGTGTTCTGTCCATTTATTTGGTTGTGTCGTTGATTCTTTCTCCATGTCGCTCCAGTTTAGAATTATTAGGGTGCGTCTGGTAACCGGAAATATTGCAATATTCAGCCCCAAAACCCCATTTTCGGGCCGAATTCAACAAATCAGATCAATATTGAAACATGTCTTGAAGAGTTTTAACCCAAATCCAATAATTCCACGTGGGATTTACTCGTTGAGGAGGTCCAAAACGCCATATTACAAAATGGACCTTTTACCTCCATTTTGAAAATGGCATTTTGGGTTAATCCCATTTTGCGAGAAAATGGAATATTCTTTTTGAAATGTTACCAGACGAACCCTAAACACGACAATATTGTGCTTTCAAGCTAAATTTGGTATTTTCGGTAGAGTCGACGAACGACGTGAAATCCTCGTGAAAATCGATGAGAAGATGTCATGTTACTTGAACTAAATATACTCACTGTCTGTCCCCGATGCAATGTTGAACTCTTTGTGAAATGGAGAAGCACCGAATACATCCACCTGCAATATGATTGGTTAAAAGGTTTTCATTCGATAATTTGATTGGTTACTTCGGTCTGCGTCGATTCGATTGGCAGCCCCAGTCCATTTTGATATCGAATTATTGCCAATATGATGTACCAATCAAGTAAGTACGCCTCATGCATCGTAGGCGTGACATGCGACCACGATACGTACCTGGTGGAAGGAGGCATCGCGGACGTGTTCTTTTCGACTGACTTTGTCAAGCTCAAGCATGCGTACTGCCTCGCGCAGCACCGCCAGGCCCATCAAGTGTCGATCGTGAAGTCGAGTGCGTTTCTGCAGGAATTTGCTGACACGGCGAAAACGCGCACGATTCTCGGGTACGTTGCACAGCCATTCGCATCTCGATGTGTGTATATCCCGACGTGATAGTTTGTATATAGGTACAACCCCCTGCTTGAGGACTACGCCAACACGAGCTTTATTTTGAGCTAAGTTAGTTGGAACACCAAATAACGTGTGTACTTGCATACTATAGTCGTTGTGGTCATGATATTATTGTAATCGAATCGCGCCGACCAAACCGATCCACGGTTGAATTTTCATTGAGAAGGTTTTGATTGGCTAATAATGTTGAGCTAATCTGACGTAGCCAATCAAATCGATTTAAATTCCAACGAGAAACCACAACACAATGAAATTTCACTCGAAAGCACAATATTACTACTAGTTGTTAGAGTTTTCCACGTAAGCCACGGTTCGTGGACGGTACTTCGTCGGGCGTAAAGTCCCAACTCGCAGTTACTGCCATCCACTCTTGACATTGCTGTGACGTGGGCGATGTCAGCAGCTCGACGATCTCGTCGCCGTCGGCTGACGACAGCCACCCATTCACCCGAAACTCGTGCAGACTGTCGACCATCCATCGATACGCCAGTGCTTTCCCCACCGCCGTCAACGATGTAGCAGTCACGTCCGTGATAGTACACTGATGCCTAGTTAAAGATAATATACCTTCAAAGACACAAGAATCCGACAACTTGGTACCTCTTTTGTGTAAGAAACGCATGCAGCGCTTGCAACAGCGTGGCTTCTGAATGAACCACAGACAGCCTCGTGGCACGCACCATCGACACGTTGGCCGTGTCGAAGGACATTAGCATCGAGTGTGCTCGAAAGTGAAACCAACGGACCAGCGTGGCCATGGACGTCCAGTCTTTGTCCAGTGGAACGATCATCTGTGCATGTCCTTCTTGGGGTCTTGTTTTGGCCAGGAAGGATGCATGTTGCTGCACCAACACATCGAACGTGCCTTCGTATGTGGACGCTCCGACGATGTCTCGTCTCAGCCGCGTCAAGAACTCCTCGTTGGGCGGGCACTGCCGGGCACAGCACTCGATGCCATCGACCACCCGCGCGGCCACAAGCGCCTTCAAGCCACTGGAAGTCGCGTGCAGCAAAGCAGCCAACTGGTCCGTCTGGCCACCGCCTAGATCCAACGGCTGGCGGTCTTGCTTGGTTCGGTGAAGTTGAACCGTTTCGTACAGCTCTAGGAGGTCACGCCCGGCAAACGTAGCAGCAAACGACAGACCAACATGGGGCAGCAGCGAGGTTGCTGCGGAAAGCCTAATAGTTCTGCGCATGACTAGTGCGCGAAGGAATACATATATAATATCGGACGACGACAACCGCGGTCAAGAGAGATCATTGAGAGCGTCCGAAGGGTGCGCCGCCTGGATCATGCGTTACCTTGAAGTAAACGCGGTGGCTCGGCCAAGAAACCGAGCGCACTTGGCGATCAAGAAGACTCGGGTCTTGATCATGGGCATGTACTTCCACTTGGAAGACGCTGCTGGTGCCGCCACGAGGTTGACGGGTCCGCCGCTGTCGTCATGGCTGCGCTGCCAGCGTACCCGTGCCGTGGCCAGACACAGCTGGGATGCAGGCACGTGGACGTGGTCAAAGACGCAGAAGCCGTTGTCGACCATGTTGAATGCGAGTTTCGATCCAATATCGCCAAGCGTAATGCCTGGTAGTGTCGCATGGGTGGCCAGATCTCTAGGCACATCCACAGTGTACATGAACAACGGATCTATGGGAGCGAGCACAGCACACGTATTACACCTCAATTGGACGAGAAACGCATGCACTCCATAATCCACTGAGTTGTGCAGCAAGCGCGCGTACACGACTGCAAAGTTGGCCGTTTTGCCCAAAGCGCCAGGCCACCACTTTCGACTGGTCAACGTTGGCGAGTGCAGGACAAACGTGTGGGTACGTGGGTCGTACGTGGCCGTGGTTTCCAGGCATTGGACATTCGATCCGTGTCCTGAGAAGGTTGGTGTTAGCACTAGGGCATGTGAAGGAAAGGCGCCCCACCGAGCTCGGTTTGGGCGTATGCGCCGAGAATGCGGTACGACAACGCCAATGGCATCCACGTTTGCAGCTGGTCTGCAGTCATTGACAGCTGCAAGGCTGGAATGAACATCTTTCGATGCATGTCGATAGGCAGCACATCGCCCAAGGCTTCACTGAGCGCTTCTTGTTCGTCCACATCGTCGATGCGATTCTCACGTATGAACGAGATCAAGCCAAAGCTCTTTTGCAATCCCAAAGCATATTCCTGGGCATGGTCAAGTCCTTCTTCCCGAGGAATCTTCTGCATCATGGAGAGCCATCTCTTGCGTCGCGAGTTCCTTTCCAATGACCCACGAAGCACCGCCGTCAAGCCAGCATCCATCTTTGAACAGTGCAGGATTATGAAGCAAATACCCATTTGACAATGCTGATTGGGTACTTTCGAAATTGTTGCCATTGATTGGATAATTGATTCATGGCATCTGATTGGGCCATTCATTCATTCACCACCTTGCATACATTTGAGGACTCCTCCATCGCCATGCATGATCCATCGTCGAAGCGCCTGAGTTGCTGCTGCGTGGAGTGCGGCACTGTTGTGAGCAGTACTTACCGCGACTACGGCAAAGGGAACATTCGCCTCAAGATCTGCCGCAACTGCAATCTCACGGTGGACAAGTACGTCGAGTTCGAAGCGATTTTGATCATGATCGACCTCATGCTCGGCAAGCAACAAGCGTACCGGCATCTGCTGCACAACCGTCGACCCCTTCTTCTCACCCAACAAGTGCTGAAGATGTTTGCTGTCATGGTCATGCTGGACTGGAACACCAAGGCCTACTTGGCTGAGCGCGACGTCGGCGTGTACTTCCGGTACGATACTCCAATCCTCTGTCGATCTAACCACCCATGTATTAGCACCAACTCGATCTACAAGACTACGTCCACGTACTCCATCTTCCAGATCAGTCAGCTGGGACTGCATTACTTTGTGTTGGCCGTGGTGGAGAACTTCATCTACATGCTCACGCTGTGGCTCTGCGTGCGGCTCCATCCTCGGTGGCGCAAGGCCACGACCGCCAAGGACGTCCAGTTCATCGGCGCGCTGTGCCTTTCCAGCTTCGGGAAGCTCTTTGCATGGCTCACGGTCATTTGGGAGTATAACTGGACCGTCGTGCATGTCATTGGCGGTACGCGACTGACTCATCTCCGTGCTGGCACACAAACCGATTGTTCGTTCGTAGGAATCGTCGTGTGTTCGAACTACTTGGTGCTCAAAATCTATGTCAACGACGACACGTTCGACGTGTTTATGGCCGTCGCCGTCGCCGTGGGTATCCGCGCCCTCACGCAACTGTTCCTCTTTGCCTTGGGCAACCCCATGATCTTCTTCACGTTCATTTAACTTGGTGAAATGTCAACTTCTCTTCCGGATAAAAAACAAATACGGATAACGTTCGAGCTTTATCCGTATATCATCCGAGCACATTTGTTGAAACAACCATGCCGCGGGAATTGATTACGATCCAAGTGGGCCAATGCGGCAACCAAATTGGCCGTCAGTTCTGGAAGATGGCTCTGGACGAACATGCGCATGTACTTGCATGATGGACGCAATTGTGGTGTGGATCGATGACGATTGTCCATGTAGCACGCAAAGAATGCCACGTTCGACGAGAGCATGAGCACGTTCTTCCGCAACGTGGACAAGCGAGGACATGAATTGCCACTGCACAAGTCCATCACGTCGCTACGCGCCCGTGCGATTCTTGTCGACATGGAGGAAGGACCCGTGAGCGAGACGTTGAAGGGACCTCTTGGCGAGTTGTTCGACAGCTCCCAGTTCCTCACGGACGTGTCTGGTTCAGGCAACAATTGGGGTATACGTCGCATCGCGCTTGAAATATAACAGCGCCATGTCTGTCTTACAGCTCACGGACATGCCATGTACGGACCTCAGTACAAGGAGCAGCTCTTGGAAAAGCTGAGGCATGCCACAGAGCTGTGCGGTAACTTTGCACGACTCGTACCGCCCCCTGTTTGAGTAGTCCTGCTTACGCCGGTCTAGACTCGTTGCAATCGTTCTTTGTCATGCATTCGATGGGCGGTGGCACTGGGTCTGGGCTCGGCACGTACATCCTCGGGCTGCTGGAAGACCACTACCCCGAAGCCTTTCGGTTCACTACAGGTATTCCCCATTGCTCACCACATCCAACACCACAATCGTCCTCTTATACATGATGCAGCCATCTTCCCATCCGCAGACGACGATGTCATCACGTCTCCGTACAACAGGTAGGTAGATAGCTACCCCTTGACTAGGCCAACTACATTTGATGACCATGTGGATGGATGATAGCATGTTGGCCCTGCGCGAACTCACGCTCCATGCAGATTGCGTGCTTCCCATCGAGAACGAAGCGCTGTACGACATGCTCGAGGTAGAGTCAGACGGTTTTGCATCGGTTGCTTACTGTGTTAGTTGCCTGCAGAAGCAAGCAAGCCAACCCGGGGCGGCGGCTACACGTCCGAAGGAGTCGGCATTTGACCAGATGAACTCGATCGTCGCGAGGACGCTGACCCACTTGACCAGCAGCATGCGCTTCGATGGGTCGTTGAATGTCGACTTGAACGAAATCACGACCAACTTGGTGCCGTTCCCTAAACTGCACTACCTTTTGTCCAGTGTGGCGCCGCTCTGGGCCGACAAGGTGATGCAGCCTCGCCGGATCAGCCAAATGTTCTCGGATGCATTCCAAAGGTACAAAGTTGTTACGAAGAAGCATGCATGTATGGGGATATGGTTGATGGCGGGGGGGGGTGGATGTAGGGATCACCAGCTGATCAAAACCAACCCCAAGGGCGGCATCATGCTCGCTTGTGGCCTCTTGTTGAGGGGAAACGTCCAGGTATCGGACATCCAGGCCAACATCCAGCGGCTGCGCGCGGAGCTGCGCATGATCCCGTGGAACGAGGACGGGTTCAAGGTCGGGCTGTGCTCCGTGCCAGCGCTGGGTCACCCCGTGTCGCTCCTCAGTCTCTCCAACAACAGCTGCATCGTGTACGTATATGTGCTGCCTCTATGACACATATGTCGTTAAACGGAGGGAGGTAGGGACACGTTTGAACGCATGCACACGCGGTTTCTCAAGCTGTACAAGCGCAAGGCCCACGTGCACCATTACCTGGCGTATATGGACACGAGTGCCTTTGACGACGCCGTTGAGAACGTCCAGTGGCTTGTGGCAGAGTACCGCAAGCTCAATGACACGTCCAGCCTCGACATACCTGCTGCCTCCCGACCCAAACCACTGTTTTAGATGCGAGCTTTGCCAAATTAAGTAGACCAAACCACTGTTTTAGCTGCGGGCTTTGCATGATTAAGTAGACCAAACCACTGTTTTAGCTGAGGGCTTTGCCAAATTAAGTAGACCAAACAATTCTCTTAGCTGTGAACTTTGCCAGATTAGGTCAACTACTCAATGCTCGCACAGTACTTGTATCTGTTGGGTGATACAGTACCAGTTGGACTACATAGTACAGTATATACCTAGTATATATACAGTAGTAGCTACATTGCACAAACTGTTTTGAAACGATATATATTATTATATATATACTAGTACTACGTGGTACTATTAATAGTTCTTCGAAGTATTTAAAACTTATCGGAGATAATAAAAAAGACTACTACTACTACGTAGTAGTAGTAGTAGTTCACTGTCAGTACTATTATTAATAATAGTTCTTGATATTGATATTACGCTGTAAAGTTCATAATAGTTCTTCGAAGTATTTACAATTTCTCGGAATCATAAAAAAGACTACTAACTTACTAGTACTACGTAGTACAGTAGTTCACTGCCAGTATCTATATATCGGTTGTTTGCTGTTTTGGAGATATCGCTCCTTTGCCACGATTGATAATATATTAATCCCGTTGCTCTATGTATAGCTTCCGTCGTCCTATTCCAAATCTGCAATCTTCCATCGGCAGTGTCGCCCAGCCGAGTAAATCTCCGCGAGCGTCTTATCAAAGTCGTTGGCTGCGACCAGCTCGATGTACTTGTTGTGCAGACGGAGGGCGGCGCGGGCGTCTTCGATCGAGTCGTGCGTGTCCAGCTGGATCTCGGTCTTGAGCAGGTACGCGCAGAGGAACCGGAGCGCGATCTTGCGCATGTTGGGCTGCTGGTACAGCTCAACTGTGTCGATGATCTGTCAACAACCATGGCGATTACAAGGGGATAGATAAATGAATGGATCAAAGGGGGGAGATTATTGCCTGGTCGGGGGGTACAAATAGGTTGACGATGCGAAAGTCCTTGTGAAGGCCATGGCCGACAAACAGACAACCAGCGTCTACGAGGTACCGCAGCTTCATGTACGCTGTCTTGAGCGACACGACCGCATGGCGGCTGCGCGTCGGGTCCAAATCCTCCGCCGTGAGTCCGCTGAACCGCGTCAAGTAGTCCACCACCTGCATAGAGCTCACACTATTTAGCGCCAACTAATAACACATACATCACTCGTAGAGAAAGCTCACACTATTTAGCGCCAACTAATAGCACATGCATCACTCGTAGAGAATGTACCGTACAGGCTCGTTGGGCAAGATGTAGTCGTCCACGATCACAGCGTCGGTTTCGCCATGGATAACCGACACCCGAGCAAGGGACTGGCGGCTTTCCTTGATCACGACGCCTATATATATATATATATATATGAGCATGGAATAAAGAATTCATTTACGGAAATAGATGAATAAAGGACACAGCGTACGTGTGCCATCCGTTTGCAGCGTCGCCTCCTCCATCTCGACAATCACAAACTCCGTGTCGATGGCCACCCGATCCCCCCGCTTGGGCAACTTCACAGCCTTGATCACACTCGCGACCGACGGATTCAGCGGCGCCGCGTCAAACACGCTCGACGGGATCGGCACCACTTTGGTATCTGCGACAGCGTTGAGGCTGCTGCTGCTGGCGCGGCGGAAGAGCAGCACGCTCGGGTACTTCCACGGCGGAGAAAAATTCACGGCATCGTCGACGGTTGAGGTGGAGACGGCAAAGTCATTGAGCAGCATCCACCGTCCGGCGTCCGGGCTCTGGACATGTGTGACGAGGTGGCAGTTTGGCCCCGAGAGCACCGTGGGCTTTCGCACGTCGCGCACCACGGCCGAGATGACGCCGATCAGAGTGTACATCTCGCCATGGGGCAGTGTCAGGGAGGACGGAACCCCCCATCCAGGCGTGGCCCAGCGCTGCTTGACGTCGTCATCGACGAGCCACGACGCTGGGTCGCACGTGATGGCCACGAGTTCGTGAGCAACTTGCTCTTGGTCGCAAGAGTTGGCCACAATCGCTTCAAACGACTGGTCCTGAGTCCACGGCGGCAGTGCGATCGTGTGCATGTCAACTGACACGACCGCCAGCGTACTGCAGAGCCACGCAAACAAGCGCTCGACACGTACGAGAATGGACAGCGTCTTGTCAAACAAGCCAGCTGCCGCCACGTCCGGTATCTGCACCACAAAGGTAGTGAATATGGGGCATAAACTGTGCCGAAATATATATATATATATATGTCTACTCGAACGAAATACTATGTCAACCTCAACGAAATGTATACATCAATATCGACACGATATATATATATATCAACATATATATAATCAACCTCAACGAATTATATACATCACGTCCAACGATATACATATAAATATATATACTCCGAGGTATATCTATATAAACCTACTCTAATGAAATATATCAACCTCCACGAAACATATCCATCAATTCCTACGATAAATATGTATATATATACCAACTCCAACGTAATATATCAGCCTCAACAAAATAGCTACGGTACTGTACATAAATTCCAACGACATTTATATACATAGAAATATGCAGTTCATATCAACTCCAACGAATATAGTATATATATATATATATATATATACATCTATGACATGTATTGATGGGGAGACAGAAAAAGCTCGTTCGTACTTGATGCAATGCTGATAAAAAGTTGGTTGTTTGCACGCTCTTGTGCTTTTGCAGCGCATATTTGGTCGTCTGATCCATCATGTGACAGAGGAACGCGAGCTCGCAGCACACGCAGTTAACCACGTCACACAAGTGCGTGCGCAGCGTCGACGTGACGGCGGGCGTGGCAAACAGCAGCTGCAGCACCGCGTTCATGTACGCGAACGGGAGCGAGTTTTCAAGTCCGACATGGGTCAGGCTGCGGTTGTGCTTGGAAAAATCAAACACATACCCGTCCATGCTGTGCTTGCTCAGGTGCATCTCCGTGTACTTGTAGCTACACCCGCGATCCATGTGCTCACTCTGCCGATATATATATATATAAATACCTCGGGGGCACGTGCCAGGACGGATCGGCCTCGTCAAACGACTTGGCCGACCCGATTGACGAGTCGCGCCGTCTCATGGGGCTCTCGGCACTGCGGGGGTCCACCGTCGCCAGCGCCGCCGCGCGGCCGCTTCCATACACAAACGAGTTGCGCTGGACACCTCGATGCGATGTGAATCCCTATGTCATCCGCCAACATGCTCGTGAGACTAAACAACATGCTGATGCGCAACGGCGCAGTGGTACAGTGTACATGTAGATCTACACTTGTATGATATTGGATATATATATATATATATTGTCTCAAGTGGATTCGAAATTGGAGAGTTGGGTTCTCAATCGAATGTGAGCACAATCACCAAATCGGCAGACACTCGATATATGTACGACCAATCAAAACCCAGAACACGACTCAAATGGCCAATCAATATTCACTCTTCGACCAAAACATTCAACACCGAATTAGTGTGTGGCTGAAATTAGTGTGATTAACTGGACGATCTTTACATACAAAAGTCAAGGCAAAGAATCAGCCCAAAGTAGTAGTCCAAATTTTGGGCAAAACAAAGACAATAGATACGTACAATCGTGCCTTTTTGCTGCACCTGTTTCTCAAACTCAGGGTGCAGCACCTTGGTGGGCTTGGGTGCAACGACCAGCGTCACATTGAGCTTGTACGCAGTGTCCAGTGCCGGCAGCCACGCCGACAACGGAGTGATTTCGTGCCCGAATTCATTCAGTGAAGGGCGAAATACATAACGAGATGCCGGCGCCGTCTCGAGGGGCGACAGCGTCAGCGGGGGACGGGCAGCCGGGCCTGGAAAGTCGAGGGGGGCGTCTGGTTCGTCGACGAGCGCGCGGGGCGGGGCCGCCGTCAGGCCGGATTCGTACACGACGACCGATCCGTCGCCGGTCCCCGAGGCAAAGAGCTCCCCGGACGACGAGACGTCGAGGGCTGTGACGGAGGGCCGGAGGTGCCCCGCCACCGAGTACTGGAGCGGGGGGGGGTCCGCCATGCCAAAGACGAGGAGGTCGCCGTCGGCGTCGGCCGCGTAATACGCATGTTGGGTCGCGTGGAACTTGACAAAGGACGGCGGGAGGCCGCTGGACGACGGAAATGGAATCGAACTCACCAGCGACATCGTTCGCAAGTCAAACAACTTGACCAACGGGTCAGGGTAAATCTACCCAAGTTCAACGACGATGACGTGATCATGATTGCTCTTGATGACGTGATCATCCCAAGAATTGGATCACGTCATGGTTCAACAAATGTGTACCTTGACAGGGGCGTGCTTGTCGTACGGGTTGATGCTTCGACACGACACGCCGCAGGTCAGCACGTAGTTGTCCATCATGTCCATGGCGACGATGGTTCCAGAATGCGCCTGCGGGATGGAGGCGGCGACGCGATGCGATCGGTACCCGCCGTCAAACATGTCGAGTCGGCCCTGCGAACTGCCGGCGCACACGAGCGGCGAGTCGTCGCTGGACGCCAACGCCGCCGTCGCCGTGCGCAGGTCCAACTTCCACATCGGGCGCAACGGACGGTATCCGTGCAGATCGTACGCCGCCAATAGACCCGTGCCCGTCCCAAGGAGCAACACATCTGACGGTTTGGACGGGTCATGGACGTTCAACCGACCGCACGTGATGTGGCGAGGGGCGTCGACGACGATGGCGTGGGTCTGGACGCATCCCCGCGATCGGAACATGGCCGCGTGGTCCGAGATGGCCACCACGCCTCTAAGGTGCCCATGAAAGACTACGATGACGACAGGACGTTCATGTACTCGTAGGTCGGGACGAGCTGCTTGATAGGTCCTGGATTGGACACCACGCTCGTGTACTTGTCCAAGGTGGGGAGCAAATGCGAAGTGAGTCGACCCTTCCATGGCATGGATGAGTGACGACGTTGTGACGGTGATGACGTACATTGGAATAACCGACCCACAGCATCTCGTGGCATAGATCAAATGCTATGGCACCGACAGTCACGTCCTCTCCGGTGGTTGTGGCTGGCGCCGGCACATGTACCATTTCCGTCCATTCTTCACCGCCACCATACATGGAAGATGCCATTTGCGCTGTGTCTCCATAATGGTAGTCGTATCCATCTCCATGAAGCTGGTGCGGCTGGAGCGACATCGCGCTGTGCACGGGGTGTGTGCTTCGTTGCAAGGATCCGCTGTTGAGCTTCGAACTTCGGAATCGAAGATAGTATGGTTTGAACACCTATTCGATTGGCTATAAAGAAGGAAATGCAGTGATTTGATTCGCCCAAAACATATCGAAATCGAGTTTTGATTGGGTCATGTGAACTTTCCCATTTAACCACAGGGCAGCAACATCATGCGCATCGCAGTCGTCGGCTGCAGCCATGGCGAACTTGATGCAATGTATGCAACGATCGAACATATCAACTCGTTGGACTCATCGAATCCCGTGCAGCTCTTGCTCTGCTGCGGCGATTTCCAAAGCTTCCGCAACCAAGCCGACGTGGAATGCATGGCGTGTCCACCCAAGTACAGAGCCCTCGGTGCCTTCCACCAATACTATACAGGAGCCAAGGTTGCCCCCGTGCTCACCATCTTCATTGGCGGCAACCACGAAGCGTCCAACTACCTCCAGGATCTGTACTACGGCGGCTACGTCGCGCCAAACATCTTTTACCTCGGGTGTGCGGGCGTGGTCAACGTGAACGGGTTGCGCATTGCCGGACTCTCGGGTATTTACAAGCCCCATGACTACACCCACGGCCACTTTGAGCGGTATCCATACGACGACAGCACCATGCGCAGCATCTACCACGTGCGGGAGTTCCAAGTGTACCAACTCGCGCATCTCAAAGCAACCCCCGTGGACATCTTCCTCTCACACGACTGGCCGCGGGGGATTGAGCGGTATGGCCGCACAGACGTCTTGCTGCGTAAGAAGCCATTCCTCCGCGACGAAATCTCCCGCGGCGCGTTCGGATCGCCGCCCAACGAGTTCCTCCTGCACACGATCCAGCCTCGGCACTGGTTCTCGGGGCACATGCACGTCAAGTTCGCGGCGGTGGTACCACACCTTCCCGGCGCCAACACGACCAAGTTCCTTGCCCTGGACAAATGCCTCCCGAACCGGGACTTTCTCCAGGTGGTGGACATCCCCGCGCCGGTCGAAGCGCCGACGGCGACGCTGACGGCAGACGTTCCGTGGCTCGCGGTGCTGCGGGCGACGCACCACGAGGCGTCTTGTGACCGCCGTCGGTCGCGAGTGCCCGAGCAAGACATGGAGATCACGCAGGACGACCTGGCGTGGATCCAAAGCCGCCTGCCGTTAAACACTGGGGGATGGCTGCATCCATTTGCCCCCACGAGCCGACCTGGCAACCCTCAGACGGACGCCTTATTGGACTTGCTGCGACTGCCACATGTGGTCACGACGCCGTACACGACGACGGAAGTACAAGCCAAGGAAACCCCGGCGGCGGACGACCCGAATGCGATTGATATTGACGCCATCCCTGCCGCGCCAGCAACAGTCGACTCTAACGAAATCGACATTGACGACGTCTAGCGCAACCCCCCCCCCCTTCCTCACAACATCTGTCTGTGTGTCGGCTACGCATTAGGAAACATCCATCGTAGCAACCTTCATTTGCCAGTGTTGATCCAGCATACAGTATGACAGTGTATCCATGTGTTTGTTGGCTGTCGGCAGCTCTTTATCGTGTTCCTGCATGTGAAACGCATAACGTCATATATCAACTCCATCTCGTCTAATAGTACAACGACGATACGAATACCTAGCATCGGTAGCTCATTCCCTTGGCGGCATTGCCTTGCTTGTTAATGTGCGAGGATGTGCGTCGCGTGGTTGATTCGTGTGGTGACGGTGGCCAGCGCTACGTCAATGAGCGCGTTGAGCTTGTCGGTGGCTTGGTCGTCGGTCAAGTCCAACATCAACGACGTCGCGAGCCACGGAATCGTGTCGGGCGTGAGCTCTGGGATGCCCGAGCTCAGGGCCAGCTGCAGCAGCGTGATCAGGAGCGACGCATTCGCCCTTAGGACTGCAAACGCCGCGACGCATTTCGCCCGGAACGTGTCGAAGCGGTCCCCCATCGCGTGCACCATGGCCGGCGTGAGCACAAACGGCGCGCGCTCCCGCTTGTACCCGCAGTACGTCTTGAAGTGGCCAAGAAAGTGCCCAAAGTCAATGTGCAGGAACCGCCCCGATTCGGTCAGCATCAGGTTGTCGTTGTGCCGGTCGCCAACGCCCAGCACGTACGTGGCGACGCAGTACCCGGCGCACGACACGACAAACGTCGCCGTGGCGTCGTCCCCCGCCGACTTGTGCGCGAGCCAGTCGGTGAGCACCGCCTTGCCCCACATGGCAGTCTTGATAGCCGCCGCTTTGCGCACCCGCCTGCTGGTCCGGTGCCGGTGCCGGTCCCAGCAAATGCTGGCCAGCGTCGACGCTTGATCCACCACTTGGATGAACCCGATGTTGTGCCCCGTCGACACGCATGCATATGCAGACACTTTGAGGTCCAAACCCGCCGACTTCCACAGGTCGTCCATCACGCGGAGTAGCTGGAGCGTGAGTTGGTCCTGGCGCAGATCGTCGCCGCACTTGAAGATCGTGTTGTGGCATATCGAGTTGGACGGGGCTGGTAGCGGCTGCAGAGGTTTCATGGGGACGAGGCACAGGAAGAGTGGCTTCTTGGCCGAATCCATCACGCGGCACTGCGCCGGCACAAACGACGTGTAAAACACGGTCGGGTGCAGCGGCAGCTATCCAATTTCACCGTCGTCGTCGTCGTTATTGGTCACACTAAACCGAGGGAATACTACGTATCGCATTTTGAAATCGTACTTGAAACCACTGGGGCACGATCGCATTGGCGAGGCGGTCGCGCAGCATGGCTTCGCTCGCGGCTTTGGACGGCTGCAGCTTGACCTGCATCGCGATGGCTTCCAGTAAACGCATCACGTACACGGACTGGTACAGTTCTAAGCGGTACGTGCTGCAATGGCACAAGTATTGCGTACTGAGCAACTGAAACCGGTCTACAACCACCAGTAGTACCTAGTCGATATATCTGTTGAAGACTAGGAGGAATACCCTGTACCGTGGACGAGCGGTAGATGGAGCTCGGCTTGGAGGAGCCAAAAGAGGGCATACCCGACTTCGCTGGGGGACTTGACGGCGCGCACAAACAGGAACCGCATGAGCGCCGAGTCATGGTGCGGCTCGTACTTTAGCGCTTGGACGAGTTGCAATAGGTACAGGCGGAGGCGGTAATCGGGCAATGAATCAAGGCAACGCACGGCGTACGCTCGTACAAATGGATCGGGGAACTTGCGGCTGAGGAGTTGTAGGGCCTGTGATGACGGAAGTCTCGAGTGAGCATGAAACAAGCGCAAGCGTTCGAACCTGCAGATACGTTGGAGCGGACCATCGATACAAGAACGCGTAAGCTTCTGTGACTTGGGCTCGGTTCGACCAGTCCACGGAGAGGAGGAACGGCATGAGCGCGGCCGGGGTCGACGTAAGGGCATCGCGGGACGTCCACAGGTACGCCTTGTCTGCTGGCGTCAGTGGACGCATGGGGTCGCTTGTAATCGCCGCCAGGACATCCGTGAGGTCGGATGCACAGTCGGGCGGCGCCTGCCACGGCGACGACAGCATCACGGGGTCGTAGCTGCGATACGTCAGTGGGTACTGGTACTTGGGGAACTCAACGACCATATAGTTGTCTACGCAATACAAGCAGCAGCAGCAGGTTAGATGAGACCACGTTGGCATTCGTGATCATTAGGTACCTTCATGATGAGTCGAAAGCAGCACCGAGTCTTCAAAGCCAACAGGCAACAGCTCGGACGACTTTCTCTCCAACCGCAGGGTCAAGGTACCCGTGCGGAGGTAATGGTCGAACGAGAACAGCAGACACGCGGCGTGGGCCAGTGCTTTGTGCGGTTTGGCCACCGACGTCACCCGCCACACGACGTGGACGGCCCTGGGCAGGCTTTGCACCGAGCACCCGAACGAGATGCCGTCGGCAAAGTCGAATTCCTTGACGCTGCCAGTCACGGCCGTGCCCTTGGCAGACACGATCGACACCTCTGGCACGATCAACTGGTCTCCGTGGTATAGCCCCACTGTGAGCTGGACCGTGGAGATGGGGGTTGCCAGCCGCAGCACCCGTGGCTTCATACTCGACGGTGTCTCGACCTACCACCCTCGACACAGTCAGAACGAACCGCAGAAATCGATCGAGTAGCAGCTTCTCTTGTCTCGGTCGTACGCACTTGAGAGATAGACCCCATGCGCTGCGTGGGCCGGTCGCACTGACCCAAGTACGGCTGCATGAACGTGGCTGCGAGCTCCAGCAGATGCATTTCATGGGCAGAGTACTCGATGGTGTCGCTGATGACCTCCCACACGGCAAGCACGACGTCGGACGTCTTGGGCTGAAACACGGGCACAGCCACGACGGATTTGTGCGCGTGGTATGCCGGCCAGTCGACTTGCGGCATGGCGGCAGTGTCGGCGGTGGCGATGGTCATTTGCAGCGGCAGTTGGTGGCGGTACACGAGCCCTGGAACGCCCATCGACGTCGGTACTTGGGCGCCAGATCCGCCATCTGTGGCAAACTACAAGACATTTGAGAAACGTGACAAAATATCCAACCAACCAACTGAACCTTGGTGAGAAAGTGGGTGGCCCGGGGGTTGAGGAGGTAGAGGCGGATGGTTTGCGCTTGAAAGACGCGGGTAAACAGCCGCGCCATGCACTGGATGCAGTGGTCCAGGTCCAGCTCTGGGGAAATCGACAGCAGAATTTCACGAATGAACGACTGCGGCGACACGTAAAGGCTCGGATTGGTCGTCGATTCGTTGCTGTCTTTGGCTTCGTAGCGCAAGCCACTTGCTGTGTGGCTGGCCCACTTGCGGAAGCTTTCGCACTACACACATACACGTAACTGTGAATGGCATGTCGTCGTGGCGATGTGTCTTACCGCTTTGTTGATGTAGCGGACGCTGTGCAGCGAGTCAGAGAGTCTTGGAAGGTGGTCCTTGTACTTGAGCAGTACCTGCGTAAGGAGCGGTCGTGAGAACATGGACGACGTGGCAATCGTTTATACCTCCCGTGGAATGGCCAGTGCGTCGACAAGCCCGACGGCGACGCATTTGAATTGGTCGTTTTTGTCGAGAAACTCGACGGGGTCGACGATGTCGCCGCTCTCGCACACGACGTCGTCGTGATGGAACTCGCCACTCGTGCGCTCCTTCCCTGGAGCTTTGACCCATGCCGTGCCGCATCGAATGATGTACACACACGCGTCGAGGCCCTTGGCAAAGATGGTGCTGTTGGCAGAATGGGATGTGACTTGGACGTGCGCGTTCAGGTCCATGAGGGCGGCGCCGTCGAGGGTTTGAAACAACGGCACGGCACACAAGAGCGAGAGCGTGGGCATGTTTCGCAGCCGGCTCACGCTTTCGCTCTCGTACGCTTCGTGCACCTTGTCCTTTGTCTTCTCCATGAATACGAGCTGTCGCACCGCGGTTTTAAACCGCTTGCGAATGGATAATTGCTTAGCCGTCGATGCCGCCACCTCAACGTTCGACGAGGACAGAGGACTTCCTGGACGGACTGCATGCTGCGAAGGTGTTTCCATCATGAGATGGATATCCTGCAGTTCCTTCTTGATGTCCACGAGGATCGCAGCATCCTCCTCCAAGAGCGACTTCACTGTAGTCGTTTCCATCGCGCCGCCGCAGGTGAAATGCTGCCGAGCCAATATATCTCCAAGATATTTGGTACACAAAAATATCCATGGGTTTGAAATCATCTATTTATATCTCCAGAAAAGGACTACTACTTCGACGTAATATCTATCTCCACAGTACTACGTAGTATATATACTTCCAAATAATTTTATTAAATGAAAACAATTTGGAAATCTTCATTTATCTACTCGGTCTAGGAAATATATATCTGTTTTGTCGTTTCATCACGACCGTTTCACTCGATTCCGATTGGACCGCTCAACATAAATCGAATCCAAAGCCCACAACAGCAATACGTTGGCCTTGCAATCATGATGTTTCGGACGAAGGCGGCGATACTGGCGGTGGTGGCAATACTTTTGGCGGCAGACGACGTAGAAGATCCATGCAACCTGTGTCAGGACTACGAGGAATGCTACGAGGTCGTCTTGGACAGCCCAACGCCACATTCTTCCATCAAGGCGTGCCGATTCAATCCCAACTACGTGGAGCTGTTGCCGGTGGATTTTACTACCCATCCTCCCTCGCCTTGATTATATGTGCAGCCCACAACCTCTGCATAGTATACGCGTACCGGTAGTACCCATCGAATACTTCCCGTTGGTAAGTGTATGATTAATTGGTCATGCTCCTTGTCAATCTCTACACTGTCACCGCACATGTACACCACATGGAAGGTGATCGCTGGAGTTCTCAGTGTCTTGTTACTACCAAGATCAAAGTCCATAGCCAGGGATAGGAAAAAGTGTACGGAATGGTTGGGAGGCCTCCTCGGTTTCCATAAGGTGTACATGTGGGTTCTGGAGCACATTTTCGGCCAAGCGTACGATTCTATATGCATATCGCATTGCATTGCACGCATAACGTTAGTGTCAATACCTTTCCTTCACGCGTTTCACTGCTTGACGATGGCCACCAAACAACGCGGCTCGGCCTGAGGCTCGACCGGCTCAGTGACAAATGTACAGCTGCTGAAGGTGTCCCAAATGTTCTCGTCCGTATCGATCTCTATTGCCATCATGATCGACCACTTGCAGTCCGTGCAATAGGACAACACCACAGAGGCGTTGAGCGATAGAACCACAGCATTCGGTTGATTGACCGAGCCGTCCTGAGAGTGGTTGATCGACGGAGGCGTCCTGAGATCGACGTCGGCGGAGAAGCCGACACGGTACATTCAGGTCCACATGACAGCCAATCAGCGCGGTGTATGCCTATACGTCAACCTACAGCATCTTGTATATGTTACGGATATCGTGCTAAAAGCTACCATAATTTCCCCTAATTAGGCTAAATATGCCTGAAATGTCATTGATCAATCAGCGCTTACTAGAAATGCCGAATTGGACTGGAGTTTTATGGAGTTACAGGACTTGAAAAAGGCCAGAGCGGGAGTGTCGTGAATTATAATTGGACGTGATTATATTCTATGCATCTCCTGTTTGTATACAGAAACCAAGTGTTGACCGATTCTGGGAAATTAATTTGTATACAAAAGTTCGAAATAAAATGCCAGCAACAACGAGCATGCTGAATCGATGTAACGGAAGCACTCACTTGGTATTATCTGCGCCCGCCGCTGCCATGACGTCCGACGACCAGCCAGAGAAAATCCGTGTGGGCGACCTGTACTGGAAGCAAATAGGGAGCAATGGATGGGTGCTGGGGAAAGTTAGTGCGTACGACGCCGACACCACCACCGCGACGTTCGATCTCGTCGACGAAGACTCGGGCGATGTGCTTCAACCAGTGCAACAGGACCTCATCAACGTGACCATGACGCCAATCTTTCCGTCCAACCCGTTGTTCAGGTAACTAGTAACATGCTATCGACTATTTTAACGTGCATGGGTTCTAACCTGTGATGACGATAGCACGTGTGCCGATATGACGTCGCTGCACCACTTGCACGAAGCCGCCCTGGCCAAGAACTTGCAGGACCGATCTGTGCTGTCCAACCAGCGCCCGTACACTTTCATGGCAAACGTGTTGATCGCAATCAACCCCCTTCGGTACCTCGAGGAGCCCGATAAGGACGGATACATTGGCCAGTCGCTCGACAAGTGCCCTCCGCATCCGTACCACGTCGCCGAGGTACGTACTACACTCTGTCGTCGTTCTTTGTCTCGACAATCATCCTGACTGTGTGGTCTAGAGTGCGTATCGGCAGTTGGCGACGGTGCGTCCCGTGATGCAGAACCAATCGATCATTATCAGCGGCGAAAGCGGGTCGGGCAAGACGGAAACGTCCAAGATCATCCTGGACTTTCTCACGGTGCGCGCCATGTCTCACCGCCAGAGCGTGGACGACAGCGGCAACGAGCCCGAGGTCACGCGCGTGTCCGTCCGCCACGCGCCGCGCGTGCTGTCGTCGTTCTCAAGCCGCGACGCGCCGAGTAGTGTCGTCGGGGTGTGGTCGTCCGTGACGTTGGGCGACCGGTTGATGGAGACGATCCCGATCCTCGAGTCGTTCGGGAACGCCAAGACCCACCGCAACCACAACTCGAGTCGGTTCGGCAAGTACATGCGGCTGCAGTTCTCGTCGCGGCACCACCACCTCACGGGCGCGTCCATCGACACGTACCTTCTGGAAAAATCTCGGCTCGTGCATCCGCCGATGGGGGAGCGCAACTTTCACATCTTTTACGAACTGCTTCGGTCTGGCCGCGTGGACCTGCTGGACCCGCTGCATCTGACGGCGTCGCTCGATGCGGAACACATGATCGCGTCGTTTCAGTACCTGAACCGATCCGGATGCACCGCGAGGAGCGACGCTTTGGACGACGCCGCCAACTTCCACAAGCTCACGGACGCGCTGCAGCTGGTCGGCATCGACGCCGCCATGCAAGTCGACTTGTTTCGACTCGTGGCGGGGGTCCTGCATCTTGGGAACGTGAGCTTTGTCGAAGAAGAGACGGATGAAGGCACGACGGCGTGCATCAGTCCGGGGCAAGATGCGTTGGAGGTGGCCGCGGCGCTCCTGGGCATGCAGAAGGACCTGCTGTCTTCCGCGATGCTCAACAAGCGCATCACCCGCAGCAGCAGCAGTCGCCGCAACTCAATCTACTACCTCAAAAAGGACATCCGACAGGCCACGTACAGCCGCGACACGATCGCCAAGACCGTGTACGAGCTCGTGTTTACGTGGCTCATGCGACGATGTGCGAGCGCGCTCGAGTACAACGAGGCGCTGCGGGACGTGCTGCCGTACATTGGCGTGCTCGACATCTTTGGCTTTGAGGACTTTGAGCCGCACAATCGCAACTCATTTGAGCAACTGCTCATCAACTACGCCAATGAAACGCTCCAGAGTATCTTCAACACGTGCATCTTTCAGGCCGAGCAGGAACTGTACAAGTCCGAGCACATCCACGTACCCAACAACGTCGCGCTCATGTTTCCATGGGCGTCTACAGGCGGCGACCCACTGTATGCCGCGACTACTACTGCCTCCTCCAACGCCACAAAGTACGTGAGCACGGCATGAAGAGAGAAGAAGGACAATTGATGCTTGTGATATGATGATGATGATATATATGCTACTGATAGGTTGATGGCAGATCGTTTGAACGACACGAGCGAATTGATCTCGTACGTGGACAACCAAGAGTGTCTGAACCTCATGGCGTCTCGCTCTGGAGGTAGATATATATATATATATATATTTATATACATGGTCACTGACGAGGATGAAATTTTTTTATATATATATAAATTTTTCGTATATATATATTTATAAATTCTTCGTATATATATATATTTATAAATTCTTCGTATATGTATATATATATATATATTCTTCGTATATATATGGTCACTGAAGAGGACGAAGAAAAAAACTAGAATGTTTTGTCATTGCCTTTTTTGCAGGTGTGTTTTCGACCATCGACGCGATTTCGCGGTTGCCAGGGCCGTCCGACAAGAAACTCAACGAACGGCTGCACACGCTGTTCAAACGACACTCGTGGTACAGTATATATATATATATATATATAACACAAATATATATATATAACACAAATATATATATATATATATATATAACACGAGCTTGGACTACGTACATTCCGAGGCCCACTTCGTATGAATGACATGTTTTTGTAGTTTCCCGACGCCGCACCCCAAGGAAGCGCACGAGATGTTTTGCATCGTGCATTATGCGGGCATGGTCAAGTACCACATTGACTCGTTCATTGACAAGAACAACAACATCATCTCGGCGCAGTTTGAGGAGCTCATGGCCGCGTCCAAGTCGACGATCTTGCAAGCCCTGCCAGTGTCCCCCCCGACATCATCATCTTCGCCGCCAAACAGCAACAACCAACGGGGCGGCAGTGTGACGCAAATGTTCTCGGTGCAGATGCGGGGCCTCGCGAGTGAACTGGAAGGCACGCGCTGCAACTTTATCCGGTGCATCAAGCCCAACGCAGACATGGAAGTGGGCAAGTTTGATCGAGCTAGCGTCGTGGACCAGCTGCGGTGCTCCGGGACCGTCCAAGCATGCTCCGTGCTTCGCGTGGGGCTGCCGACACGGATCTTGTACGCCGAAGTGGTCGACACGTACCTTCCCGTGGTGGGCCACGCCTTGTACGAGAAATTCAACTGCAACGAACGGCTCTTCACGCAAGCCATCTGTGCGGCGCTGGCGTTCCCCACAGATGCATACAGACTCGGCGACACGCGGCTGTTCTTCCGCACAGGTATGAATTCGCGTTTTACTCAAAATTTGGCTGACTTTTGTGCTAATTTTTTGCCAAATCTATCGATTGATTGTTTGTACTGGATTTTGTATGTAAAAACGCGTTCGTTCTGTGGGGATTGGTATCACACTAATTGAAGTCACACACTAATTTGATATTATTGTTGATTCGCGTTAGAGTCATGTGTCATTTCAAAAAAAGAAGTCTTTTTTTGTATGATATGAAAGAAAAACAGAATATTCAAATTATTATAATAATTAAATATAGTTTCATATGTAGCAAACTCATACTGAGATATTGGGGGGTTGATGTGTAGGCAAGATTGATCTGCTGGACAAGCTTCTGAACGTGACCAAGATGGAAGATCAAATGCCGACGATGCTCGTCAACTACCTCGTCAAGCGGCGCTGGCTGTCTGCCGTGACCAAGGTCATGGTCTTTAAAATGTGGGAACGCGTGTTCGCCGAGGTCCGTTTCCGGCGGTCGGCGCTGACGCTGCAGTGCTGGTGGCGACAGGTTCAAGCGCGCAAGGAGCGCCAGTCGCTCGCCACCCAAGCGCGCGTGGCGTCCATGTTGGCCAAATGGACAAAGAAACTGAAAGTGATGAAGTCATTTGAGGGCAAACCCGACGACAAAATCGACTTGCTCAACAAGTTGCTGGCAAAGCCCGTGGTCGCCCCCAGCCAAAAGTGGCTGCTCACGTGGCTCGGGCCGTTGCAGCGCGCCATGTACGTCCAGAAACTGTGTCGCAAGGCGTGCGTGGCGTACCTGGCCAAGCGCGGCTTTGTCTGGCTGCTCCAACAAGTCAAAGTCAAGCGGGCCCAATTGCTCCTTCAAACCCAGGTAATAAAGCCATATCATGCGATAATCCTCGTCATATATAAATATATATATATTCAATATAAAAAAGAAAGTGTTTGATTCGAATAGACCAGTCAGTACGACTGTAATCATACTCTTGTGTGTAGGTTCGCATGGTGCTGGCCAAGCGAAGGCTGCAGGAACTCGTGCGCAGGCGTCGGGCGCGGGACCATTGGCGCAAAGCGTTGTTCGGGGCACGGATGCTGTCGATCATGAGTCGCCAGTTCCGCCGCGTGCATTTGCATCGGTTAGAGCAAGGCCAGATCGAGCTCACGGCGGCCAACGAGGCGCTGCAGAGTCAGGTCCAGCACTTGACGGCCAAACTGGACAGCGTCGAGATGGACAAGCAGCACCTGCAGCGACTGGTGACGTCCACGGCCGCGTCACTAGCTGAGCGGGAAGCGCGGCTGCAACGGTTGGAAGCCAAGATCCAGTCGGAGAACAAAGAGTCGCTCATGCTGCGCATTTTCAAATTTTTCACGTGCAGCAGCAGCAGCAGTGTGTCGTCCAGTCGTCGCCAACGCAAACAAAGCGTCGACGAAGACGACGACGAGTCCGAGTGCTCGATGACCACGTGCACGAGCGACGAAAGTGCCGACGATGTGACGGTCCAGCGCGTGCGCATCACCCCCCCGACGAAAAAGAAGCAGCAGCCTCCTCGCAACCACGTGTGGAAAGTCAGCCGGTTCTGCTTTTAACCAGAGTATGTAGTGTACTAGTCGTCGACGCATCAACGGAAGTGCATCGAGAATACGCTATATATATATATATATTTATATATATCAACACGAGCCGCCGCCGTCCAAGCCAGACCGCCGTTGTCGACTGAAGACCGGTCAAGAGAAGTTTGAATGTAACTTATATACATACATATATATAACCAACCCTCTTATGCAAAGATGGCCATCTTCTCGGCAATGTCGAGCCGACAGATGGGACACCGCGTGACTTCGGAATGCTCCGAGCATGGCTGACACATGCACACGTGGCGGCACGGCAGGCACAGGATGGTCTTCTCTGCCGACATGCAAATCACACACAGCTTGAGCTCTTGCTGCACCTCCACCTGTCTGTCCAGCGCTTGGCGCTGCTCGACAATCTTTTGCTCCTGCAAAACATACCACACATGTCATTGCTCCATCTACTAGCAGGTCTAGTAATACTAGTTCGTACCTTGACCGCCCGCGCCTTGTACAAGGCAGTGTCGAGCGTGTCTTCCAAGTCGCGCAGTTCCGACACACTGAGCGCATGCAGTGCCTGCGTGTTTCTACTCCATGTCACATATATATATAATATATATATATGTACCCCGTGAGCTCGCTCATGCGCCGCTTGAGACACTCGATGGCGCGCTCACTCTGTCGCATGTGCTTCAAGTGATCTCTGTACTTGTGCTCGTTGACTTGGATGCGCTTGCGTAGGCCCGAGAGGCTGTGCAGCGCCTCCTCCTGCTCATGTTCGCGCTGTCGGTACGCCTCGAGCTTGTCTTTGAGCTCTTCGTTTTCCATCTACAATAATCCCTTTCTCATGACCAACCAATCGACGGATCATCCGCACCAGAATCGCGTCGCGATCTTGCTCAACGTAATGGATCAAGTACTCGAGCTGGTCATTGCGCAGACTCAGGTTGTTGTCCCCACTACGGCCGTCCTCGTCTTCGCTCATCAGGTCCATCGCATGCAAAGTCAGGTCGTCCACTGCTTCCTTGGCATGGCAGGTAGTAGTACTAGTAGTAGTACTAGTACTAGTAGTAGCATTGCTGCCATGGTACTCCCGAAACAGCATCGATCGGATCGGCGGGGCATCGTGGCACCACTGGAGTCCGTCCAGCGTTCGCGCCGCCACGGTCGCTTGCTGGCGGTTCTGAAACTCCACAAATCCATGGCTACAATAATATATATCCGAATAAACACATCAATATATATATACTCTAGTACAATAATATATCCGCAAATATATATATATATATATATATACTAGTACAATAATATATCTGCATATATATATATGGTTTCAATAGTATATATATACATATATAAATACTATTGAAACCTTCTACGAACAACAGTACCCTTTCATTGTCGTGGCATTTGGGGGGCCTAGGGGTAAAATCACTTGCAGCGGGTTCGACACCATGCTAAACAAGTGCACGAGCAGCAGCTGACGGACAGCGTCGAACGCACGGCCGGCGGCGGCTACCCGCGGCAAGTTGACGACCACAACCACACACCCAAAGCTCGTACCCGGTCGGGACGTTCCAAACTCATACTGCGCCTACATATGCACATGTTATTCTGTACACACAACTCCAATATTGTACAAGTGGTACCATGTCAAACACTGGCCAAGGAAAGGTCGTGTCGGGCGGAATCGGCTGCAGAATGAGTTTACGCAGCATGGAGGCGACGTCCGGACGAGGCGGCGGCGGCGTCTGGTTGTCGGCATTCCCACGCCCAACGTGGCCGTCCACGACGCTTTGCACCAGCGCCACAAACGCCAGCACGTCCTTCTCGTTCCCGTCGTCGTCGTCGTCGTCGTCGTCTACACTGTCGTCGTGGCCATTCGTTTGCAGGGTTTGAAGGTCGTGGACATGAGCTTGCAGGGCCGAGAGGGTCGTGGCTGCGTCAAAGCCGAGCGCTACCAAATGAGGAAACACAAGATGCGGCAAGCTGCGGACGCCGTTGGAAGCATGCATCATGTGATGGGTATCGTCGTTGGTGTCTAGATCGGACGAGACCGACGACAGCGTCGAGTTGTGCATGTCGTCGTCCTGCGCATCTTCGTCGTCAGATTCGTCCGAGAAGATGGTGGCGTGCACGTTAAAGGACGCGGGTGGCACGTGGCCGACGCGAGTGCGTCGCGGTGGTGGTGAAGCTTGATTGTTCGAGTCGAACGGATGCCGCCGACGCGCAGGAGGACGTGGTTCCAGGGAAGCGCCTGGACCAAGAACGCGTTCGATGCGGGATTGTGGAGACAAGCAGTCAGGGGACAGCGGTCGCAGAAAGAACGGCGCTTGCGCGAGGGTCGCAGTCGACGGAATCACGTCACTAGTGACCACGTCGTCCTGTACCTGGCTCCGAGAATGCGCTATGTCTGTATAGCCTGAAGGCATCCATGTATGGACCTGCCCTTCCATCCCTTCGTCGGGTCGGTAGGCGACCTCACCTTCTTCGCATGAATCGCCACTGTCATCAATACCTTCTTCGAACTCAAATCCAAGATTGAAGTGAGCTCCCAGCGCTGTACGAGCTACAAGAATATTCAGGCCACTTCATTCAGTGTACTTGAACCTACGTCGAGGCAGCAGCTGCAGCGGCGTCACAGGGTCCCCGTTCTCGTCCACGACGTAAGGACCCACGGCACTGCGGATTAGTTCCACGAGGTAGTCAAAGTCGACTCCATCTACACAAGACGCATAGTCACTCAATGGCATGCATATAGCGCGCATAGGTAGAGTTCTCCCACCTGCGCCTTCTTCCGACATGTCCATTCCCAAGATCGCGTTGTTAAGCCGCCGCCAGCTTGGTAGCTGGTTTTGTACTGTGAAATTCACACCTACGTTTTATCGTTTTACTCGTTTCGTGAAAAATCCAATATCGTTACAGTACTTCAGAGTACATACAGTAGTACTGTATGTTCGTATTTAATTGTATTCATTTGTTCGAAATGTCCAATGACGTTTTTATAGGTTATAAACCTCTAAATGACTCCCGCCAACTTCTTTCATCCTGTGCAGAACCTTCGGAACCTGGCTTCGATGAAGCCTGCGTTCTTGTTTGGCTTCATGCCGAATCGGTCCTTGGTGTGCTACGTAGAAATCACGGCCTATTGGCGTATGCTGCCCCAACGGATGTACCTCGGATGGCAACAGCGACGTGAACGCTTTGGCCTTGGACTCTTCCTTGTGCGCAAACTGTGTCGTCGAGCTCTTGTACGAGCCAGGTCCCAATGCGTCTGTTGTTGCGGGATGAAGCTTCGGCGCCCCTGGCATGTTGTGCACCATGGCGGCAGTCTAACACATATACATCAGTACAGTAGCATTTCCCTTGGCACCCGCGGACTCCATACCGACATGAGCCGGTCTGCGTTGGACGTCATGCCGCCGTACTTGACCGTAGATGTCGCCACCGACTCTTTGATTGTATTCTACCACCGCCTGTCAGTCCTCAGCCCCTCCACGTGAATACCATGTGTACTCGTAAGATGGAGGGCTTCTCGTAGACGACATCCGGAGGGTAAAAGACCCGCTGCTGCTTGGACGACGCATAGTTTTCTACGGCGCCATTATTGTAGCATGTCACGTCATGGATGGCTTCAAGATGATCCAACCTGGGAACGCGGTGTCGGACTGGAAGCGCGGCGTCTGGGACATGGCCACCGCCGAGCTCACGGTTGGCTTCGCATGACTTTTCACTGGCGACGACGACGATGACTCGACCGCTGGCTATAACAATGAACAGTGAAAATTGCTGTCGAAGTTGCTTACGCACCAAACGAGGCGTGTGAAACCGCACGGTGTGGCTCGCAAACGTGTAGTCTTCGCCCTGAATGTTTTTGATCCGCAGCGTGTGCATGCGCAGGCGGTACGTGCCAGGCCCCATGTCTTCGGGGTGGCTACAATTCTCCTGTTCACACAGTACTTCTCTAACTAAAACCCCCAACCCCCCCCACACACATATCAATCGCATAGCTCCTTAGCAAGACTCTCTAACGCCATGCACTGTATCAATGACGTACGCGTATGGCTCTTTTACAAAGCTGGCAAACGTCCCCAGTTTGTACGCCTGCGTGCTCGCAAACCGATGCTTCTTGGACCTACAGCATACCATGTGAACCTGGTTACCACCATCCATCCCGTCTATCGTTTCATCGCATCATCGGGTTATGCATTTCCAAACTTGAAAGCCCAATGGTGATGAGCGTACTTGAACGCTGCGGAGTACGCCATCGTGGACGCCTCGACGGCAGTGGACAGCGTCTACCCGAGTGTGACGAAATGGGTGGTCGAGGGACAAGGGGGTGGATCGCACCGCCTTGCCGCCGTGGTCAATGTCGTATGTAGCTAGGGGCAAGTTGTTGTCGACGGACTTGACGCCGTATGGTTGCCGCTCGTCATGATTCGGTCGGGTGCGCTGCGCGGTCCGCGCCATCCGCGACGCAAACAACCGCCTCTCCTCGTACGGATCCAATTCCGCCGGCAAGATTTGCTTGCTAATTCCAAGGCCATTCATGAATACTAGTAATAATCTACTAGGATGTAGCGAACATGCATTTACATGCAGTCGAACGGATTCTTGGGCTCGTGCGAGGTCGTAAGAGGCACAGATGGACCATTCTCAGCCTCCCGCCGCCACATTTGCCGCTGCGACGCTTTGGATGCCTGTGGATACGGCACGTTGTCGTCATGACGGTCATGTTATCTGTGCAGCAGACGTACGAGGTTGAAAGCCCCCATCGCCGCGGGTTTCTTGTTCGAAGGGGACCACTCGGCCATGGTCACGCTACGGAGGATGCCACAGATGGGGCTATTCTTAGCCTGACAACGTCATCATACTTGCGTGGACAAGAACCTTGGGGGCTTTGCACAAGCAACAGTCTAGGGATGCCCTTTTGGTGGTAGCAGACAGCACCCCCCCTCCGAGATGTGGGGCCTACGCATTGCATACATGCTCCTTCTGTTCGACGCCTCGTTCCGAGCACAAATCACTGACTATGACTCAGATTGAAGTTCCCGACAGTATGGAATGAAAGAGGCGACACGAACTGTGGGGTCGAAAGCGGTGCAAGATTGAACCATCAACCATGCATTGTCAACTTCCCTAACTTCTACTGTTCGTGAGCTGATGATGTCGGAACCAGTGAGCCAAGCGAGTCCATTGCATTCTCGATAGGAAAGGTCGTGGGTTGGCCTTACAACTCGTATATGCAACCATCTAGTAACACAACATCTCGCGTCATGTTGTGCTTACTGGCACACGACGGATTCCATTTTGCCCACGCTTCCTCCCATCCCCCACAAGAATGCCCGTGGCTGTTCGTGGATTCGAATTGACCAATCCCCAACGACAAGCCAATCGTCGAATATTCCTGCGGACCGAATAAAAAAATACATCATTATTGTCCAAACGCATTTTATTGTTTACAAAAGCCAAGTGGATAATTCCAACTAATTTAAACATTTATCTATTTTTTAACAAACGTACCACGACGAAATTTCCTTTCACACTGGATCTTCCATCACAGTCGAAAATGCCGAATCCGGTCGTCCATGTGCTCGATTACGGCGCCGGCAATGTCCGAAGCCTCAAGAACGCTCTTCATGCGCTTGGATATACCCCTGTAGATGTTGAGCGGGTCGAAGATATCGAAAATGCATCCATCCTGCTCTTCCCCGGGGTGGGCAACTTTGCACAGGCCATGACGTTCCTTACGTCGCACAACTATGTGGACGCATTGAAAGCGTACATCCTCGCGAACAAACGGTTCATGGGGATCTGCCTTGGTATGCAAACACTTTTCGAAGGTAGCGAAGAATGTCCGGGTGTTCCTGGTCTCGGCATCGTCCCAGGGCTCGTCGCCAGGTTTCCTTCTGATAACTTGGCCGTCCCGCACATCGGATGGAATGGCGTAAATTTGCATCAGTCGTCGCCGATCTTTGCGCATGTGGACGCGTCCTCCGACCCCACTGTGTACTTTGTCCATTCGTTCCGCGCGTCCGCATCGTCCGCCAACAAGGTATGGGTCCTCACGACCACCAACTACGGTGATGTCGAGTTTATCAGCGCCATCCAGCACGGAAACATCGTGGCTACCCAATTCCATCCCGAAAAGAGTGGCGCCGTTGGCCTGCACATGCTGCGCGGGTTCCTCGAAGGTGCTGCTCCCACTGCGCTCACTCACGCAGCGCCCACGACCGTTTTGCGCAAGCGAGTCATTGCGTACGTGAACTCTTTCCTTGTTCATCCCTTAACGCTTGTCCATTAGATGCTTGGACGTGCGCGCCAACGACGCCGGGGACCTCGTAGTGACCAAGGGCGACCAGTACGACGTGCGCGAAGCGTCGAACGACGGCCAAGTTCGCAACATGGGCAAACCAGTGGACCTGTGCGCCCGGTACTATTCCGAGGTGGGACTGATATATCAGATATGGTGGTCGCTTGAATGTCTTTCTGTCTTACACGGTCTAAAGTGCACTTTGCTATCGAAATATCACTTTGTCATGCTCGTCGTTTAGGGTGCCGACGAGATTGCCTTTCTCAACATCACGAGTTTTCGAGAGCAGCCGCTGGACGACTCGCCCATGCTGGCGGTGCTGGAAGCCGCGTCCGCCCGCGTGTTCGTGCCGCTGACTGTCGGCGGCGGCATCCGCGGGTACACGGACGCCACCAATCGCCGGTGGTCGGCGCTGGATGTGGCGGCGCGGTACTTTCGCGCTGGGGCGGACAAAGTATCGATCGGCAGCGACGCCGTCGACGCCGCGGAGGCGCATCTAGCCGGCACAGTCGTGACCGAGAAGAGCTCGATCGAGCAAATCTCGACCGTGTACGGCCGCCAGGCGGTGGTCGTGTCAGTGGACCCGCGCCGCGTGTACGTCGAGTCACTGGCGGCGCACGCGGCTGCCGTGGAGCTCAAGCACCAGCGGGGGCCGCTCGACGAGCGGTTTTGCTGGTACCAAGTGATGGTCAAGGGGGGGCGCGAAGGCCGAGCGCTGGACGTTGTGCAGCTGGTGCAGGTAGGCGCTAACTAGTCTGCTTTGGATTGTGGGTAGTAGTACTAGTAGTAGTACTAGTAGACCTGTGAATTGTCATGTGGATGGGTACTTGTTGTGTGTTTGCCTCGTGCAATGGATGATTGGAGAAGCGAGTGGTGTAGAATTCATCTATGGCGGACCACCACTGTATTATGTAGGCGTGTGAAGCGCTGGGCGCAGGTGAAATTCTGCTGAATTGCGTCGACATGGACGGCCAGAACGCCGGCTACGACTTGGACTTGATTGGCCTCGTCAAGGCCGCCGTGACGATTCCGGTGGTCGCGTCGAGCGGCGCCGGCCGCCCCAGCCATTTCACGACTGTGTTTGCGTACGTTTGTCACCACTGAGAGAGTTTTCATGCCCTTGCCTCATGTGCCCTTGTATATTAGTGAGACAGGATGCGACGCGGCGCTGGCGGCAGGCATCTTTCATCGACAAGAAGTCACGATCGATCAAGTCAAGGCGCAACTCCGATTGGACGGGGTCCCCGTGCGCTGCTCGTTGTAGTAAATGGCGTGATCAAAACAACACGAGATTGTTTGTTAATGTGGATGCTGCGATACAGTACAGTCGTCGCCGCCTCGAATCGAATGTAGCCCACAACGGTGTCACGAGCTGCTCTTTTCGTACTCTTTTCGAAAGAGGGGATGCCGCGGCGGTCGGGTGTCGTGGATTTTGCCGTCGTCGACACTGATACCCATGGCGTGCAAGATCATAAGCACATGCCCTTGCTGTCTCTCCATAGCTTTGCGCATCTCGACCACTTCCTGCTTGCTCTTGGCCTCCACTACATGTTGCAACCACCACACAAGTATCACTTTACTATCTAATAGTATGCAATACAACTAACTGGTCTATTCATCATTTGTACCTGCCACGAGCCTTTCTTCGAACGCGAGGATGGCCGTGGCAAACTTGTCGGCGATCTTGGCGGCTTCCGCTTGCCCCTTGTCGCGTGCTTTGAGTTCCTGTCGCTGGGCATCGATAATGCCAATCAAACTGGCGCGTTCCCTGCGACATCGTTTGATTACCAACACCAAGTGAATAACAGTAAGGCATGCCGTACTTGTCCCATGTCGGCGGTGGCGTGTCCCCCCCCCCGCCCTTATTGTTGTCGACGCCGTCCTGGACGGGGGTTTCAGTTGGATGTGCCTCCAGTGGATGCTGCTGCTTCCTCGGAGATTCAGACCGCGCACGCGTTAATTTGGGGGCGGGCGGTGGAGATGCGTCCTAATATGGTGCGATAGTAAAGCGCAATGGCGATAGGATAGATAGGGCCTACGGTTTCTACTCTGAAGGGTCGTACCCGTGGGGGCTTGTTGCCGTTGCTCAGTCGGAATGGCTTTACTCTGGTCACTTCGTCGTAGTTTTTGCCCGTGGACATGTAGAATTGCCTGTAGACGAGTCCATGAAACAACAACATTGCAATCCCAGCCAAAATGTACCTTTTCAGAGCTTCGTCAGAATGCACACGAGCCCGTTGCTGGCGTGCCACGTGAACTTGCGCGGCGTGGACTTCGGAATGGGTGGTCAACTTGCCTCCCTCCACAATGCGTTTGACGTCATGCTTGTTGGTCTACGAGGGAGCATTATTGAAGCGTTTGTACATGGCGAGGATAGACAACCTGTGGAGAGAATGTGCATTCTTCGTGCTTGGCATCCTCCAGCCGACGGGACTCGTGCGCCAGCTACCTCACGCGCGACCATGACTGTGACATCGTGGTAGACAACTGGAATGGCTACTTACCCGTTTCTCCCCATGCCGCTTCCACTTCATCTGTCGGTCGTAGGCAGTGGCCATCGCGCCTGCCGCCGCGTTCGCAGTTTCGCGTTTCCAGTTGACTTTTGGCGATCCCTGATTGGTGGATACAGCTGAAACGGTTTCATGCCGACAAGGCCCAAGGCGGCAGCAGCGCCGACGCCGTCCTTTGAGAAGTCACTTCCATGGGAACATGCGCAAGGAGCGACACCACTGGATCGCACAGTCAAGGTGGGCAAGGATCGGCAGCAGTTCTTCGATCGACACAAAGAACCCCCCAGCGCCATCAATGTTGACCATATCCAAGGAGTGGGCCATGCCGCGTTGCACTTGGCCCACCGCGCGGACACGTTCAAGAAAACCTCGTCCGCCACCATATCGACTGACAACGACAGTGACAGTGCCTCTGACGAAGAGTTTGAGTCCAAGATGCACCAAGATGAACTCGTACCATTCGTCCACCTGTCGGCGTAGCTCATGATAGTTTGGGTAGGATCGCATTCTCATGGCCGAGGAATGGGACACTCGCTTCTGGAATCGAGTGAAAATACACGAAGCCATCGACACGCTGTACGCTGAAATCGAAAAGAGCTCGGACGTGGCCCGCCGGCGCCTGGCGCACAAGATGCTGCTGCATCTCAACACCCTCCACAAAGGTAACCTTCTTCAAACTCTTGAGACGCGGTCTAACTATCATCAGAGGCAAACATGACCAATGAAAACAACCTGTGCACGCTCTCCAACAAAGCCTTCCGCAAACTCACTGTCCATGTCAAGAACAACGCCGTCTTCAACATCGCCGAGCTCTTGGCCGTCTTTGCCGTACCGTACGCCGCGGCACTCTCGCACGAAAACGCGGTGCTTCGGTCGCTCACGGTGCTGCTTCGGCAAATGGACTGCGCCGCCCGAGTTCTTCAGCACTTTCGACGGCGGCGGCAGTTTGAACGACAGGTCCGAACCCAGGACATCTCTGTCGAGGCGCGCATGCGGATGCGAGCCATCAACGTGGCCAAGAGCATTGAGCTGAGCCGACAGCAGCGGTGCATCCATGAAGTACTGGGCCACGCCCCCATGCCCGAGCGCGCCGTGTTGGCGTACATGACCATCATGACGACCCTCGTCCAGGACGAGCTGCAGCCGGCCACGGGCCTTCCCCGTCACGACCGCGCCAAGATCATCCCCGCGGGGGGGCTGGTGTGGCTCAACCAGTGCGTCCAACATCGCCACAGTCCGTCGCTCGTGGCGCTCACCACCCAACTCCTCATCGTGCTGGCACACGATACCGACCGCATTTCCGACATCTTGCGGAGCAACGTCGTACAGCACGTGGCGACAAACTTGGCCCAAGCTAGCAACGACTGTGGTACAACTAGCAACAACCAAAACTATTGTCTGCAACCCAAGTCTGCTTTTGAACTAGACAAAGCCCTGGCGATCGCATTTTTGGACCGTGTGGCGCAAAGCGTCTGCGACGTCGTGCACAAACAACGCACGGGTGTGTCGAGTAACGCGTCGGACGTGTCTGGCGGGACGGTTGTCTCGGCCAAAACGTACCACAGCCTCACGCGAACCTTATCCGTCAAGAGCCACCGCAGCACCCACGTCAGTAGTTCCAGTCTGGTCAGTCGCAACGACGACACCGCGGACGCGCGAGACACGGCCTACCGCAACCGCCACTTGTCCGCGCTAGTTGTGGAGCAACTTGCAACACCGACTATCGTTGGCATATTGCTTCGCACACTAGACATGGCTTCGCCCCCATCCGTCACCACCGGCCTCCTCCAGGTACGTACATCTCCATCTCGAATATGGCACACCATATGCAATGACGACTTTGGGGCAGGTGCTGCACAAGCTGGCCTACGACGTCGGATACCCGTTGCTAGTGGACCTCGTCACACGGAATGCAGGCCGATACCTGTCGACGATCGTACAGTGTCTCAGCGACACGGGGGGGTCGGACGTGGTGCTCGCAGCCCTTCAGCTGCTCATGGCCCTCGCGTCGCGGGAAGAGGGCCGCGACGGACTCATGGTGGCGGGATTGGTGCCATTGGTACGCCCGTTGTGTGCACCGGGGATGCACGCCCCCAACAACAGTGCGTTCCTGTCTGTCGTCGTGTGTATTGGAAAGTAATGTCACGAATGGGTAGGCTACCGCTTTGTCGTGGGGCTTCTTGCGATCGTGGTGTGTGCCAACCCCGTCAATTCGTTGCTGTCGTTTCCCACGACCTTTCGAAGCAACGACAACGGGGTGTCCTTTGTCCCGATGACGTTGCTGGTGTCGCCCCACACATTACTCGACCACGTCCATGTGTGCTTGCTACATTGCGTCACCCACGACACCGCAGGCCACAGTGCGCAGTATTTCCAAACGACCAACACCCTGCCCCTCGTGCTCGAGCTGCTCGTGCAACCGCCGGGGCAACCGACCCAACAGTCGCGGTCTCAGCGGTACGACGCCCGCTTCAGCTGCTTTGACGACAAGACTGAGAGAAGGTGATGTAGGCACATTAGCGCCATAGTGCTGTCCCATCTATGTCGAGTGGCCAGCGTAGCGTCGACGCTGGCGTTTCGACAAGACGTGGCCACGCACTTGGCGGTGGTGGTGCAGACAAATCGGATGGAGGGGAGCGAAGGGGGGGGATGCGCGTCCTTTTCCCGCGTGGACCACCAGCGGCACCTCCAGAGCACCGCCGAAGCCTGCCGCGCCATGCTACGCCTGCTCCGGTGCCAGGTCCAGACCCACCAACCGCGGACTGTCGTATTGGCGGCTCAGGTGTTTTATTTGAGAACGCTCTTCAAGGTGCACGCATTGGAAGACGTCGTCGCGTGTTGTCGACCTGTCAAGTACTGTACTCGTCCAAACAATCCACAACCAATACACCCATGATTTGATTATAACATTAGCACCGTGGGCGACTTCGCGGCCGACGACGTCGACGTCGTCAAGTGCGCGGTGCAGCTCGTGGGACTGCTCATGCCGTCGCTGTCCCTGCTCGAGCAGCAGACGTGGCCGGTGGCCACGAGCGTTCACGGAGTGGCGTTGGACCAGGCGGGGATTGCAGACTTGGCCAAGCGACTGGTTGCCGCGTACGTTCTTTTGCGTATTATCTGATGAACCATATTCATAAAGCTAAAACGCGTCTCTAGGGCCACGCCCGCGCTCCTCCACACACTGGCGGCGGACGATCCGCTGCCGCGAGTGGTCAAATGGTGCTGCGGTACCCTCGCCCAGCTGTGCTCGACCAACGCCACGTGCGCCCAAGTGCTGCACGCGCGTTGCTTGGACGTTGTCGCAGGCCTCGTGCCGAACGTTCCGAGCGACGTGTGTAATGGGCTTAGGTCCATGCCGCCGCAACTGGCAGTGTGCCTTTGTGAAAGCGCCCAAGACGACAAGTACGTGATGGACTCTTCCTCGCAAGTGTTGAGAAGGTATGACGTGGCAGGCTCGTGGCGCTGCCGCCGACATTTTACACGTTGCTGGCCCAGTTGGGCCGGCTCGCGGACGGCCGCGCGGCCATCTACCGCCTCAACATCCTCACGAGGATCCTCAAGCGAGTGCACTTTGCCTCGAGCAAAGTCAAGGGATTTTTAACCCAGCACGACCACCAGTGTCGCAGTGAAATCGCCCGAATCGTCGCTGCCATCGCCAACGAGAACGCCGTGGGGGTCGGAAACGTGAACGAATTGTGTCTGCGCCACCACGTCCACACGATTCTCGTGCAGATGCTGCATCCAGAGCTGCCCCCGGACCTGCCCCCGGCGTTGGGGCCTGTCTTGTACATAAATATCCGAATAGTGTGAAGATTTCAGACGGATTATCTTTCTTGCCGGTAGGGTCGAGAGCGGTCTGGCCGCCTTGAGCGCCATGGCCAAAGACCACATCCGAGTCGTGCCGGCCCTCGTGGCAGCCCATGCGCTTCCGCACATCGTGTCGTTCCTGGCGCGATGGGACGTGGACGCGGCGGTGACGATGTCCATGCTAGAAGGCGCGGTGCACGTGATGTGGGGCATGGCCCAGAGCCCGTCGGAATCCATCCAAGCCTTGATCCAAGCGTCCAAAGTGTCGGAGCAACTTCTGCGCATCGGCTGCTCGTTTCGGTTAGAAATGCTCAAAGTTGCCATGTTTGGCGAAAAATCCGTCGGCGAAGTGGCACGGGAGACGTTGCGGCACTTGAGCGAGTTCGAAGCCAAGCGCGTTCAGTGTACGGTCTACTGTACACTGAACACGATCCAACCCTGTAGCGACGTAGCGGTGGCCACGCATTCGCCGCCGCCGTCGCCCAAATCAAGGCAGCCGAGAGTGGCGTCACCAATATCCCCTTTTCGGTAATGTCGTTTCCCTGACAAGGTCGCGGATGCGTTGACGGCATAGTGTGTAGACGGCCGCAGTCTAGCGAGACCAATGAGCCGAACGCGACGCTGCCGACGCTTGAACCATTCCAGGTACAAACAACACCAACGTGCCACCCGTCGCCCGTCAAATGTGCTTTGAACCTACCGACTTTGGACTGGCGAACCACAAGACCGCTGGGGCCCAAGCCCACGGTCGAGCCACCCACAACCATGCAATTCATCCGACCCAAACCAAAGCGCGTGGGCGAACGCAAAAAGTACCCGCTGTTGATGCTCGACCCTTTGTTTGGGGCGTTGGACTATGGCGTCGATCCGTGCACTGCAGTGGCATCTCCCCAGAGTTGGAATCACCGTGAAGGCGGTGGGGAGTATGTCGCCCACGTCTCGAGCATCATGGGCCACCACGTGATTGTTGACGTTCAATCACCGACGTTCTCTGCTGACAACGAAGTCATCATGAAGAAGACGAGTAGTGGCACCAACATGGGGACTACGCTCAATGTGTCATCCCAGCGGAAGCGGATAGGATAAACGCCAGTATGATATGCCCAACTTTCAATGACAGATTGACCAGAATTTCAAGAATCACGTCTAAATGGTGTTACAGACAAGTAACGGATCCTATATGCGGGTTCAAAAGTGCAGCGAACCTTGCGACAGATTAAGCAATTTGCTATTCTGATTATATGAACCAATTGTAAATTGAAATACAGGTCATATTAGCGTAGGTCTTTTTCGAACAATTTTCTGATTGTCAGGAAATGAGAATTTCGAAATCCAAGACCAAGACAACATGGAGCGGCGATGGAGCAGCATTCGACAGGACGGATTCATCGCGCACGGCCACGTATTGTGGGTTGGGCCCAAAGTTGTGTACCGCGTGACCATTGAAACGACAATCATGCTCGACAACGGAGAAGACGTCATGTGGGTAGCTGCAATCAGCAAGTCGAAGCTTGAAGCGTTCCAACACGAAATCCAGTCGCTCTTGCGGGCCATCGATACCCCAACGGGACCTCGGAGCCATGATGGCGAGGTAGAAGCCTTGATCCGTCAAGTCCAGCAAGAAGTGAATCGCGTGCTTGGCGCCAACTTCGCCGACGCGGCCGTGAACCACAAGGGTGCCAACATCGAGAGCTTTGCGACGTCGCTATTGAACGTGTTTGGGCTGCTGACGAGCATGCCAGTCGACTACGTCGACACGTCACTGCTCATGAATGAAATGCTGAGGTTTTACGTGCTCCTGCGCAAGTTTCTTGGCATCCCCGATGGTGTCCAGCATGCTCGAAATAAGCTCGCGTTGGCGGTGCTGAGTATGAAGGACGTGGATGACGCGCCCGGGATTTGTTGGGACGGCTGCTGCAGCATTTGCCTTGAGGCATGGGACAACGTGCCAAACCTGCCAACCGTGAAGCTTCCGTGCGACCACGTTTTCCACGAAGACTGTGTCATGATATGGATTCGACAAAGTGTCAAGTGCCCTGTGTGCCGGGCGCTCATCGCGCAACTTTCCCTCAGTTAAGTAGGTAGCGTAGCTAGCCCCGTATTTAATCGCATGTAGTAGCCTCAATCGAGTCCATATCCTAACCGTGCAAAATTCCATTGTGAATTTGTACTTACTATAACCTAACCCTGTTTCTGACGGTACAATAAGGCCATGTTTGGCTACTATAATTCTGCAGCCAGCACACTAATTTAAATGCCCATATTGGAGAGGTGTGCATGCAGCGCACGTGCCATCAAATGTTAATCACTGCTCCACTTGAGGATCAATCAACTGCTTTGTGAGTCACTCAGCATTCGCCCACAAGACCTCGTCTGGACGTTTCAATAGCTCGTCTGGAGTACTTGCCGACGACTTGGCTTCCAGTTTCTCCATTTGCAAACAAACGCGAATCGTCGCCTCCTGCAAACTCCGGGGGCGCCTCGCCTCTACCACTAGACGAGATGGGTGGCCAATAGCGAGGAGCGTTCTTGTCCAGACACCATAGGCATACTACCAGGTCGAGCACGGAAGGAGAGGTTGACTCTGATACGAACAGAAGGTGTTGGGTTGAGTTCACGTTAACTGTAAAGTTATGGTCACTAGTTCCGTAGAACGCAATATATACATCCACAATGGAATTTTTTTGCATGGTTACGATACACTGGCAATCTCATAACATTTAACAAAGACCCGTACTAGTATAATAGTTTTACTATATTACAAGTTGTCATAACGTTAGTTGGAACTCATATCCGCGCAAACAGGTCATTGATTTTCCCAATTCTTCATGGATTGTACAAACCGCGCCGACGAATCGGATTGGCTAATATCCACTTGCCGTTTCCAGAGAAAATTGGATTATAGCCAATCCGAGACAAATAATTTCGGAATATATGGGGTGAATCTCAATCTTCACATGAGTCAAGAGTGTGCGTCACGTAGGACAAGTGTTGAATTGCATGGATACTACATACCCATGCAAAGTGATATCCACGTGGTTTGTCTGACCCTTCAGTACATGTCGTGCTTACTATTAGTACTACTAGTAAGTAGTAACAGAACATGAGTTGACGATTCGGTCGTGTTGCATACCTGTTCGTAAATTACGTATTTATTGTTGACTTAAGTCGATCTTCGATGATGATCCAACATGATGCGTCAAGTTCCTGCTGCCATCCAAGCCCTTGAACGGGGTTGGAACTGTTCTACGAACATCCACTCCAAGCGCGTGGCCCCCGTCTCCGACGAGGAGCGAGGCCGTCGCGCCGCTGAGCGTGCCGAGAAGAGAGCGGCTGCTCGCCGCCTGATGCAGCAGCGTCCGCCGCGGCGCGTCCACGTCGAAGCGAAGCCCTGGAACGGCTCCACCAAGACCGACTCGAAGCGGGTCGACCCCGCAACGCCTGCTCAGCGCGACCAGCAGGGCCTCTTGCGCATGGCGGAGCGACAGGCTCGCACCTTGCGATTACAGGCCCCGCATGGTGTGACCTTTCAGCCCACTACAAAGTGGAACGCGTCCACCCGCGTGACCTCACAAGAAGTTGTTGTCGCGCGACCCCGAGTTGAGCCACTCATGGCCGTGCTGCGACCCCGCGCCCCCCTCCTCGTGTATATGTATATCTGGAACGACAGCACCAATCTCCACAAAGAAGGCCCGTCCTCGATTGTTGATGGATGCCCGTCCGCGTCGTGGTGGTGCACCTGGCTCGCGATGGATGCGCCACTTTAGCGACACGTGTGGCAATCTCAATAAAATTTAACAAAGACCCCTATATATTACAAGTTGCCATAGTTGGAACTCATATACGATATATGCTTATACATGATTGGGGCCACAAACTTCTTGCTTGTTGCAGTTCATGTCGAAGCTTGTCATAAGGGTTCAGTGTACTATGAACTGACCTATGCACCACCATTCCTTTCGATATCATCCTACGAGTCAACTAAAACGGTTTGCGCGAGGTTTGGTTCCGGCGACGGTTGGTCCAGACAAATGTCAATGCGAGCATGAAAGTCCCGAGTGAAAAGCACCGACATATCCTCTTTTGAATAGTGCAGTTTACAGTTGGTGGGGTGATGACGACATATGTCCGAGGTACCACGTGAAATATATCACTTTGATCGGGATTCCAAAGTACTAGGATCTATCAATGAGTTGTGCACCAACCCAGGCTGCAAAAATCGGGGGGTGACTGACTGTACAGTATTGTACTGTATACCTCTTACGCTTTGGGCGTTGAGTGATAATACTATTGTCCTTTTTATTTGGACCGGCAGTATATTCGAGAAGTCGACTTGACAGTGAAGCACAATTCAATATCGTCAATTGTATACTACTCAAAAATTACATAAGTTAACGTTATAACGTCATGTCTTTGGGTCAAACATCGCTGAAGTACCATTGGTTGGAATGAAACAATTTCATTAGTGGACTAGAAACTCCACATTCTACAACGAATTCATAACTCTATTATTAATACTTCGAAGTACTATTAATATTAATAGTAATACGTATTATTGTGCTTTTCACATATTTTGCCCGTTGTTTTAGCTCCTAAAACCATCCAAAGTTTAACCTAAACTGAAGTTGCACTCGACGTAAAAGTAAGTTTCCCCACCGTTCTGTCATTGGCTGATCTAAAACTTGCGTTGTTTTACTAAAACTACTTCGTTTTATTAACTCCCGTGGCCAAGCAGTCATGCAGAGTAATGACCTACTACTGGGGTAAGCTCGCAGTGCACCAGCTCACACGAGCTTTGCAGCCAGCTTGTTAGCAACTCGTTGGCACGAAAAGTCGAGCAAGAAGCACTCAACATCAACCTTTATCGAGCATAGTCAAGAATCACACTCGCGTGTATTAGGTAATCCACTCTGTAAACCCCCGCGT